CCTGTAATCCCAGCAATGGGAGGCTAAGAGGATCACCACCAGTTCAAGGCCAGCCTCAGCAATTTAACCCTGTCTCAAAATAAAATAAAATAAAAAAGAAAGAAAAAAGGACTGGGGATATGGCTCAGTGGCAGAGTACCTCTGGTTTCCATCTCTAGTACCAAAATCAAAAAGGTTTTTTGTTTTTTTTTTCTGTTTTTATTGTTGCTGTTATGATTATTTTTTGTGCTGGGGATTGAGCCCAGGGCCTCATGCACTCTCTATCATGGAGCTATACCTGCAGACCAAAAAATTTTTCTTAGTTGTATTTACATAATTATTCAGTGACTGGGCAAGGCTAAGATATCCACCCCACCCCTTTTAAAAGATATCCTTACACTATTTGGTTTTCAGAAACATTAGTAAAGGTAGGTCAGGGGAACAACTGAAAAGCTGAGAAACTGAATATACGAAGGACAAGATTGTAGGCAAGACAGATCCCTTTAGATTGAAAATTAGTTTGAACTGAACTGTGGAAGTGGGATTTGAGAGAAAAAGACTACAAGATATGTTAACCAAATAGACTTTGTGGCTGGTTAAATACGTAGGATGAAAAAGAAAGCCCAGATGTCAGTGATGGGATGGGTAATGCAGCTGTTCAGAAAACAGATTATAGGAAGAAACACTTTTTTTCTGGCAGAAGTTGGAGTTTGGGGTTAAAGGAAGATGATGACATCTTTTTTAACATCTTAAATTTAAGGTACCTTTTAAGCATTTTGGTTAGTTAAGTCCTATAGTTTGGGAGACAGGTCAAGAAAGGAATATAATTAACTGGGTGTGGTGGTGCTTACCTGTAATCCTAATGATTTGGGAAGCCAAAGCAGGAGGATCACAAGTTCGAGACCAACCTCAGCAACTTAAAGAGGCTGTATGCAACTGAGACATATCCTCTCTCAACATAAAAACATAATAATCGTGGCTGGGGATGTAGCCCAGTGGTAAAACTAGGTTCAATCCCCAGTAACCCCCCCCCCAAAAAAAAAAAAAAAGGAATATAGTTTAGGAGTCTTCAATTGAAACTATGGAACTAAGAATTACCAGAAAGAATACATTAAATGAGAAATGAGGCCAGGGATATTCTAGGTGTTTCTGGAAGAGTCAGCAAAGGATATTGAGAAAATAGATGCAAATGTTTCTTGACATTAATTGTGGGAGTAACATCTTTTTCCCAACTCATAAATGTTCTCAGAAATATATTAGACTGCTTATCTTTTTTTTAAATCTTAACCTCTATAATCTATTTAAGTTTTAGAACTAGCCACTTTTCTTTCTCTTTTCCTCCTTCTCAATTTAGGAAAAAATAACTATGTAATTATGTTAGTTCTCTACATTGTATATGATCAAAATAGCAGATACTTTAATGCAAGAATTAAAGACTCCTTTTTACACCTATAATCCTTGGTAAATAGATGGAAATCTGACTCTGAAGATCTCTGTCCATACAGAATACTCTAAAAATGGTAGGCTAGGCTAGGCTTTGGTATGAAATAATACTACAGTAGTTAGGGGACTTGATATATATATCTGTGGTCAATAAACATTGCTAGTGGAACTTTCCAGAAACAGTTGATGCCAGTGAGAATAAGATATTACAGTTTCACTTCTGACATTAGAGACTTGCATGTACAAAATAGGAGCTATGATGTAGGTCTAATTATAGCTAACAAATAATCTTTTGTCAATTCCTTGCATTTAGGAATGAAAATTCTCATTATATCTTTTATTTTTATTTATTTATTTGGGTATCAGGGATTGAACTCAGGGGTGCTTAACCACTGAGCCACATCCCCAGCCTTTTTATATTTTATTTAGAGAGAGGATCTCACTGAGTTGCTTAGGACCGCTCCAAGTGCTGAGTCTGGCTTTGAACTTGCTGTCTTCCTGCCTCAGCTTCCTAAGTTGCTGGGAACTTCCCAAGTTACAGGCATGTGTTACCTCGCCCAGCTCTGGTTATGTTTTTTAAAATATTACTTGGCAGCCTGGGCAATGTAGCGAAACCTGTGAGACCTTGTCTCAAAATAAAAAGGGCTGGAGATGTGGCTCAGTTGTAAAGTGCCCCTGGGTTCAATCCCCAATATTGCAAACAAAACAACATCACCACCAAAACCCCCCAAATCAAAAACAAACAAACAAGCAAACAACAACAACAACAAAACACTACTTCAGACTACTTAAAAATACTACTATTCCTTTTCCTTATTATTTGATTTAAAAAATTTTTGTTAAAAATGTCATGTGTCAATATTCTTCTCAAGAAATCAAAACAGTGTTTGTCAAATTTGAAATCTCTGTTGACATCTAACATCTAGCATGTCACAGGACAGATTTTGGAAACAAGATTTCAGGCTAGGTATGTGGCACACATTTGTAATCCCAGCAGCTTGGGAAGCTGAGGCAGGAGGATCACAAATTTGAAGCCACCTGTCTTGGAAAAGGGCAAAAGCATTAGGGGTTTATTTCTGTGGTAAAGCACCCCTGGGTTCAGTACCCAGTATTGCAAAAGAAAAGGTGTGACAGACTCTGGACAGATAGCATTGATATTCTTGATGGCTTAGTTGATCAAATCTTGGTTGACACAGAAGCAAATTGAAATACTGAATTTGGACATATTCAGGGTATATAGTGCTATACTGGGAAGGAAGTTAAACTTTTGAAAGTGATGGTGGGAGAAATCTCAGTGGCCACAGATTAACTTCTCCTGGCCCAATAAGACATTTACCCCAGAGAGTTTGAGATAGGATGTGTGACTATTACTTAGCATGCGTAATAATGTCTGTATTTCAGTATTCTTTTATTTTTATAATAGTTAATGTGCTGTGATTTGCAAATCTTCAAACATATTCAGAATCTGGCTACTTTTTACCACCTCAGTTGTACCATTACCATTATCTCTTTCTTACAGTATTGCAGAGGATTCCTAAATTTTACTGTATATTAGAATCAACTGAAGATTTTTAAAAGTACTGATATATGACTTCTGTTAGCAGTCATTCTGATTTAATTGGAATGAGTTGCAGACTGAGCATCAGAATTTTTTGTAAGCTCCCTGTCTCTAACATGTATTGCCTCAAATAATTAGAAAACCAATTTTTCCCTGAAGAATTTGATTTTGATTGTGTTTTTCTGCTAGTAACCCTGTTAATTTGGGACATTTCCATTTCTTAAAGTTTTAGAAGTTGTAGTGTATCTATTGTGTTTCTTAGTTGAGCATGAAAGCTGACGATGGCTGATTTAAGCTGAAATAAAATTTACTGATAGGACAATGAGTGGTTCACAGAATTGGTAGAAGAATGGATGGAGCCAGTTATAGAAAAAAGTAAATCAACAAGGGGAGGTTAAACAGCTGGAACCACAGCATTAGACCATTATTGCTATCTGATGAATAGTGATTAGATGATATTGATTGCACTACTGATAGGGTTGGTCACTCCAGGCCACCACTGGTTCTGCTGCCCTCTGAAACTAGATGTTGCTTTCACTGTTGCTGTTATTGGAAAGAATTATTTTGTCTCTAACTTTTCTGTGCCACTATCCTCCATATTCAAAATCCCTGATAGATGCATCTATTTGGGTAAGCATAGTCTGCTAGGACATGTGAGAAATCAAGTACCTGGAATTTTCAGTTTTAATAGTGTAAGAAAGATTTTGTATTCTACCAAAATTCTTGAAATAGAGAATTCTTCAAACACAAGCAAGGACTGCACCTGTTAAAAATCAACAAAGTGAAAAAGGTCTATTACACATGATATAGCCTACCTACTATGTGTTCTTTATTTTATGCATTAATCTGCTGACTATTAAGGTATTATTTTTTGAGGTATACAGACCAATATAAAATACAAAATAGCCATGTTTCTAGATACTGAAAATATTCTGACTTTCTGTGATGGAAAATAACATATCAATATTTTATGTTAGTTCAATAGAAAGATAACGTGGGCCACAAATGCAGTCAATCCATAGGTGTAATTTTCAATTGAATTTAAAAAGTTAAAAAAGATTTGTACAGTGGTGTAGGCCTATAATTCCAGCAACCCAGGAGAATGGAGCAAGAAGACTGTAAGTTCAAGGCCACCCTTGGCAAATTAGCAAGACCTGATCTCCAAATAAAAAGGGCTGAGGATGTAGCTCAGTGATAAAAGAGGGTTTACTACCCAGGAAATAAAGATCAAAACCTCAGACATTTAATTTTAATAATTTATTTGTTTCAACCCAATGTATACAAAATATTATTTCTAATGTAATCAATTTACTTAGAGAAGACTTTACATTTTTTGATACTAAACCTTCAAAATCTAGTGTGTATTTTACATATAGAACACAACTCAATTTAAACTGGCCACATATCAAGTGTGACATGTAGTCAGTGGCTCACATATTAGACAGTGCAGTTCTTGTGATGTTCTATAAAATGCTATATGAATTGCAGTTACTGCCAGCTAAGCATGTTGGGATGAAATATTTTATACACATTATGAAAACAGGAATGAATATTTAAAAACTATAACCAAAGAATAATAAGTGCTTGGTTGTTCATACTCAAAAAAGAAAACTGTCTCCTCAAATACAAAACAGTAATTTCACGTGCAGCGTTTTATAATTTATTTGTGGTAGAGAAAGGGGAGTGTGAGATGGGGAGGAGAAATTCAAATTTTTTTCATTAGGTTTTTAAATTATTTTTATTTTCCAAACATTTAAGCTTGTGAAGTGTTGAGATATTTCAGATATTCCTTAAGGCAGAGGAAAGCAACATACAGTTTGTATATGAATAATCAAATTAATCATATTTTATTATATCTATGTGTATGTCACTACTAGGCTTAGTATCTGATGCTTTGAAAAAATAGGATGATAGCAACTGACTATACTTGTAATTTTAACTATTGTATATGACTTATTTAATACCTAGATAATTCATGTTGATAATAAGTTTTATTTTCTAATTGTTTTTATTTTTGTAGGCTGCTGAATCAGGAATAATAAAAGTTAAAACAATAGCTGCAAGAAACTCGGAAATTTTGACAGGTAATTTTTTCCATTAAAAATTCAACAATTATGAAAAATTGACTAATACTAAAAGTAGAATCTTGAAAGAATGCCATAAGTTTTCTATAGCATGTCTTTCTCATGCCCTAACATGTTATTTATGATACAGACTACAGGAATGTCCCAAACTGATTATATTTCCCAGAAGTTAATACTATAAAATTCTCTAATATCAGAAAGATTAAAAGTTCTAATTCCTTAAAAGCAAGATTTTTTTTCTTACTGTTCTACCTCTTGCCTCTTAGTCCATCTTTATTATAAACAGTTCATAATGTAGTATTTTATATTTAGTAGTACCATTGAAGTTTTGATTCTTGGAATTAAGTATGGTGATGAAGAAAAGAATGAGAGTTTCTTTTTATGTCTTTTCTTGATTAAACTTGGTTTTCAAAGAGGAATTTTATTTAAGAGTTTCTATTTGGTATGCTTTTTCTACTCAGTCTACTCGTTTTGGTTTTTTGAGCTTTCTGTTCTTACCTCAGTAAGGAACATGGACTGGCTTTTTTTTTTTTTTAAAGAATCTAATATATGTGAGTACTTGTGCCACCCTATCTTACATAAGACTGTCTTGTGGGGAGATATTATTTTATAGTAGAGCAACTTCACATGCAAATAAATTACTTGCTTGCTTAAGGTGACATGGTAAGTAATGGAACCAGATTCAAATTCAGAAGTGTTCAGAGCCCAGCTTCTTCTTTCAGATGCCATTGTATCTCAAGCTTTTCACCCCAGCTACTTTCTCCCAAGTGCTTCATATTTAATCATTGCTTGCTCCATTGATCCTTCAGCCTGTATTTCCTGTTCCAACAGTGCCTTTCCTCTCATCCAATGTAAGAGAAAAATAGTCTTATTAAGCTAGTTAACACAAAGACTATAAAGAATCTCTTGAATTTTCATAAACTTTACATTTAAAACAAAGGATACCAATAAATCTCTAATTTGTGAGATTTCGGAGTAGTACAAAATGAGATAAAGATTTTAGGGGGTGGTTTAAGAGTTGGGGGGCAAGCGTGGATTTTACTTAGGTTGCTCAGCTTTGCTGGAAATTGGTCCTTAGTGTTAGTTTTCTTGAGTTGCATCTGTTTCTTACAGATTCTTCCCTGATTTTCATCAGTCTATTGGAAACATCATATATTTTTATAACATATTCACAACAGTGAATAGTGTTCTGAGTGCATATTGAGGAGGGTGGTGAATGCAGTAGGAAAAGGCAAAGGTGTTTATGGTTGGGTTGGGAGGGACAGCAAGTAGATTTTGGGAGATGCATGTTGGATGGATTAGCTACTGTAGGGGAAATAGTGTTTAAAGATAAATTATGACCTAAGATATTTTTAAGATAGATTAATCATATTAGAATATCATTGTGAATATTTATCTTTGGTATTATTATGGTTGATACCATGGTAAGTCCTTAATTATTCTCCAATAATAGAATTTTTCGTTAGTTTGTAGTTGGTGGAAGATAAAAGCCTGATTTCTTCAGAGAACCACTATTTCAGTGTTTTATGCTAAGTAAAATGTCCAATTATAAGAAAGAATAAGAAATTGTTAGTGCACATGAATTTAATATACAGGTAGACTGTTAATTTCATTTTAATTGTATTAGCTTTATTCAAATCATGTTAGAACAGATCTTTGTGCACATATAGTGTGCTTTAATCTCCATAGTTTTCCAGAGCCATTTACTCAAGGTAGATTAGCATTTAACTTGATCCTGTTATTTTTTTTATGAAGTATTGATAACAATTGATGCCTAAAGAATGTAGATTCATAGATCACTGTCATCTTGAAAAAACAAAGATTTTATATTGGTCAATATAAAGTTCCTAAATTCAGAGATCAGTTAATACTGAAAAAATTTTTATTAATTTAAAAAGTTTCCTGAGAAGTATATATTTTTTTAATACTTGAAATCAAAGGATACTGCTTTTGTGTTGTAATGGTTGTAAAGATCCCACATAATTGAGTAGTCAGATGAGACAGAATATTGAATTCTCATATGTCTCTGTATATTCAGAATATATAAAGTTGCTGTAAAAATCAGAGCCCTTAATTAGGCTTAACTAATCTAATTAATGATATTCAGCATAGATTTCTAGTCAGCTTTAGTTTCTTAGATTTATTTTCCAAAGGAACATCATTTATATTGCAACATAAATCTTTGCTTTACATCTCCCCTTTTAAGCATCCTCCTTTAATGTTTATTTTTCTTTGTTTTCACTGCTGTCATGAATGCTGACATAAGTGGAAATGCTATGCCAGGTAATGTCAGCATCGATTCAGATGTACAGATTATCTCAGATTTTTTTTTTCTTTAAAAATGAAACTCTGAAAATGAGAAATAACAAAGTTTTTCATTTATAAGGCCAAATGCCTTAATTCCACCTTTGCTATATATTACAAATTATTATTCTAGCTGACACTGTACTAGAAATTGAAAAGGCATGTGTTAAACAGAAATCACATAATTCTGCTTTTTAAATGTATGTTTGAACAAGGAAATCAATGAAGTGTAATGTCTATTAAAATTATATTTAAACCCTACCCTAAAACGTAATAGTTAAGTCTACCCATGGCTGCTTTTAGCTGTTGTCAGTACACATACAGAATTTTTACATGAATAATCATTACGTATGATTTGTGTTCTTTTCTCACATGGTTTTCCATCATCTTTTCCATCTCTGCTTAGTCTTATAACTACGAGGTCTTTTAAGTAGCAATGAGTAAATATACTTCGGATATTTTTTCTGACATAAAAGGTAATTTACCTGCTTATTTTAATATGTTCTATCTTATCAATACATTTGCTTGTGATATTTTACAAACAAATATGGAATATATTGTGTAATGTATTTTTAATAAGTATTTATGTAAAAATTAGTAGGAGAGATAGAAAGTTGGGTGATGAAATTCACATATAATCTATATGGAAATACAAGAAATATATTTGAAAAGTGTGTTTGTGCCATTTATTCTGTTTGGCTTACCTGCTCCTTCATTTGGAGTACTTTGCCAGAAACTTAACTTTCCAGATGACTTTCTTCCTGAAATTAGTATCAACATCTTATTCTTTCTTATGTTGCTGGTATTTATCATATTACAAGGGAAAGAATAAATCTCTTATTAAATGTAGGTTAATAAATAAATGCCATTGTATAGAAATAGGTCTCTTAATATTGTCTTTACTATTTTTTTCTACCTCTCTTTAATTTTTACATGTTATAATTATTTGAATACATGTATTGTCATCCTTAGTTTATGACAACTAGATAATAGCACTCTGAAGAAGACAGACCCTAATTATAGAATTCTAATACTGAGTAGTAAAGGCCAATATGGAAATATATTGATAAGATTGTTATTGGAATATTGATAGGAAATGCACCTAACCCAGCTTGGGAATCTGAAGCTGAGCGAGCCTAAAAGCTCAAAGGAGAGTTAGCCAGGCAAATAAAGTGTAGAAGTGGACTGCTTGAATAAACATATGAGATATATAGCAGCTTGGTGTTATGTGGATCCACTAAAAGTAAAGTGTGGAAGATATGGTTGAGTATACCATCACTGAGGCAGAGGTAACTGTTAGATAATTTAGGCTAGAAAATACAGGGCCTGTATCATGTTCACATGTTGACCTGTTGGGCCAGAGATTACATAGTGTGTCTACAACATAATTTGCTTTTGTTTATTTTTTCCTTGGATTTAAAAAATAATAATTTTTATCCCATATTTTCTTATATCATAAGTTTTTTGGGTGGTGGGGTGGGGGTTGTGTCTGGGGATCAAACCTAGGACCTCACACATGCTCTGCCACTGAGTCATACCCCCAGCCCTATCACAAGTATTTGATTTCATCTTTTTAAATCTTTTTAATTGCCATACAGTGTTTCATCAATTGGATTGTACTTCCTTTATGTTAGGTGTATTCAATGTTTAGAATTACTTTATGATGAATTTCTAGAAATTTATAAAGTTGTAATGTTAAAGGGTATGAATATGTTTGAAGTGCTTGGAATGTATCACCACACTTTTTTTTTTTTTTTTCTTTTCTGGAAGGTAAACGTTTATGCCTTTACCAACAATATGAAAGTGTATTCTTATAACATCCTTGTCAGCATTATTGTTTTTTAGAAAAAAAATTGGTACTAAAACAAGGAAATGACTGTTCATTTTACCTGACATTTTTAAAATTTTATTTTTTAGTTGCAGATGGACACAATTCCTATATTTTGTTTATTTTATTTTTTTATATGGTGCTGAGTATCGAACCCAGTGCCTCACACATGCTAGGCAAGTGCTGTGTTGCTGAGTTACAACCCCAGCCCCTGACATTTATTTTTGACATTGAACATATTTCTCTGTATGCATTAAATTATTTTCTTTTTCATTTTACATTCACTTCTTCTGAGATTTTGTGTTTGCTTTATCAAGTTATTTGAGCTACTTGTATAGCAAAATATTAACTGTCGATTATGTTTTAATCATATTTTTGCCAGATCATGGACCTTTTAATCTTTTTAAACTCTAGATGCTTTTTATTTTTAACTTAAATAATTTTTCTGAATTCTTTTGTTGCTTTACATTTATGATGCCCTTCTCCTTCAACATAGTTTATAGTCATTTTAATTTTCTTCTAGTTTTTCTGTGTCTTGATTTTTTTCCTTATTTTTTAATATATGGAATGACATAAAGATTTAGATTTTTTTCTTTTGCAAAATTGCTAATTATTCTAACATTGTTGAATAATTTTCCTTTTAGCTTGTAATGTGCTTCTAAAATGAAACTACTATACTTTATTTTTCCTATTATTCTTGAATCATTTAAATATATTTTCAGACCTTTGAATCCACTAAAAAATGTTTAGTGGTGTTAGAAACATCAACAAGTCTTCCCCAGAACCAGATTTTAAGCTTTTTGAAAATAGAAATAATGTCTAAGTCACATTTTATTTCTTTCATAAGCATTACAATTTGTTATTTAAAGGCTGTTAAAATTTATCACAATAAAACTTTTATTAACCCCTGTTTATGTGATTTATAGTGGGGTATCCTAGTTTAATTCTTTTTTTCCAGGATAAAAACTGCAATTATGCAGTGAAACTGCTCAGAGCAAGGAAACCCCTAGGATATGGGGACCTGCTGGACCTCTTTCAGGTGTGTGAAAGTGCATCATTTGATCTCACAGTTATATAATTTGGAAATAACAGCATCTATCAAACACACAGTTGCTCTGTTAAAGTTGCTTATTAAAGGACTTAGGTGGAAAATAAACTTTTTCTCTTCTTCCCACAAAACCTCTTTTTATATCTTAATGGAAGCTGAAATTGTTTTAAAGGATCAAGCGATCCTTCTTTTTTGCTTTTTGAATGATATATAAAATAGTTAGAACAAGATGTCTTTATATTGTTCTACAATTTTTTTCTTCATTGTGATTTCTAAAATCTCTACTCCTAGGAAGGTATTTACATAAAGCTGTCCTTAAATAGTATATCATTATAACCATTGTATGTAAAGAGGGGCATTCTCTCAGTTAAAAGAGCCAGGTTAATTTTAACTTCTGCACTACTGTCACATTTGAAGGAAGAAAAATAAACCAGTAATTTAAAAAAAAAGATTTTTCTGTTACTGAATTGTGATCTAGATATGGTAGATGTGTTTTGGTTAAATAGATGAATCAATTGTATTATTTAGTTGATCATCTATTCTGGATAACTTAGAAACTGCCATTTTTATATAAATTGGGAGCGGAAAAGTAGGAAAAGATGAGAGACAGGTATTTAATTCCTTTGAATAACATTAAAATAAAGTTTTAAAAATTTATTTTTATTACTACCTTAAGTTTATTTCACCTTGGTAGACCTGAGTGTAACGGATATGTATACACACTTCACTATGATTCATCTTATTTTATTGATTCTAGGGTTCATAGTTTTTTCACTTTTTAACATCACTTAAATTGGTATTCATCTTACAAATGATAGTATCTTTTAGAATCACTGTGGGTCAGGTGTGGTATAGTTTCCTTTGTAGGTGTGTGTGTTAATTTGTTCATATTATTATCACATCAGTTGAGTTGCATGCATTGTTGATATCATATATGTTGAGTGTTAATTGCTATTTGAAATGTTCCCCTAACTTTTTAACATTTTATGGTACGATAAAAAAGATCAGCATCTAAATATTGCAGAATAGTGTCATGAAGAAAATCACAGAAACAATAGTGAGGTCCTCTTTGAAGAAATGAAGTATTCCCAATATTCTCCGTATTCCAGAGGATGAAGTTGTGCAGAAAACTTTTAAGTGATTAGAAAGCATTTAATTGGCTTTGATTTTCTTTGTGATGTTATGGGTATGTCTTGAATCATTGGCATCTTAGACTCTTAAGAAAATGCATTGTTTTTTTCTTTTATGACCCTTCCTTTATTTATCTGAAGACTTTAGGTAGACAGTTTTAGTTATTTGTTTGTGATACTGGGTGATCCAATCCAGTGCCTCCTACATGCTAGACAAATACTCTACCACTGATCTACACTTCCAGCCCTTAGGAAGACATTTTAAAGTATAAATGATTAAGTCCTCTTTTAACTTCATTTATCATCAGGATGATAACTTGCTGGGAAGAATACTGAACCAGGAATTAAAAGATCTATTTCAAATTCTTCTTGTACCATCTACTTACTGTGTCACTTAGACCTAATTGTGCCCTATAAACTATAAGGTTATTGTAATGTTCCAATGAAAAACACGGGCTAATGTCACAAAAATTATGAATGCAACTTGTTTTTACTGAAAATTTTTAATTTTCCTGAACAACATTTAATAATAAAATAAACATTTAATGATAAAGTTTAACATAAATGGGGTAGCTTCAGACTTCAGTATTCAGGCAATGATTGAATTTGGAAGGATGATTTAATCACTTCATTAAAGCTTTATGATTAGCTTTAAGGTCATATTTTAATCATTAATGTTTTGAAACTTCACTATGGAAAATTTTTGTCTTTAGGTTTGAATGAAAACCTTTGTGCATAAGGAAGCAAGGAAAAAAGGAGAGGAGCCCTTTTGCCAGTCTTATTTGCTGTTTTTTTTTTAGCTGTGTTAAAGTAGACCTTTGCATGCTCTACAAAGGTCCCAAAGTACTGAGGGACCTTTTTGAGCATGCTCTAGGAAATCGTTGTCTTGATTTCCATAAAGAGAGCTTTTTTTTTTAAAGTATTTTTTTAGTTTTAGGTGGACACAATATCTTTATTTTTATGTGGTGGTGAGGATGGAACTCAGTGCCTCATGTGTGCTAGGCGAGCGCTCTACCACTTGAGCCACAACCAAAGCCCCCCATAAAGAGAGCTTTGGGAGAAGTAAAGTAGGACTTAAAGAGTAAAATTAATGTTAGTATTGGTTTTGTACTTTAATAATGGTCTGGATGACTCTCAGTTTCTTTTGAAAAACATTCTAAAACTCAGATTTAATTGTGTTTACGACATGTCTTTCCTCCAAAAATAATTGATGGAATTAGGACCCTTGAAAACAAGTATCAAACTCATAAGTTTAATGTTCTCTTCACATGTTATTTATTCAAATACCTTGAAAGTGACAAACCTGTCTTATTCATCTTTTTGTAGCCTATCAGTAAATGATTATTGACTTAATTCCATTTTATAAATTTAAATGTGTAAATCAGTTTGTGCATTTCCTAACCTCCTTCATTTTTGTCACCCCTTTAAATTTCTGAGAAGACTTGGCTTTGTTAGATATAAATTAAGATTTGAAGTTATAGCATATGTATCCAATTAACTTACAGTATTGTTTCAGTAATATAGGGAGAAATGCTATAATATAGGGAGAAATGCTATTGTTTTTGATGATGTATGTTTATTTCTTGAAAAAGAGATTAGAGCTCTATGAATTTAAAGCATATAATGAAATTCTAAAGAGTTTTTGAATATTCATTAACGAGTATGGTGGGAATGGTGTGCATACTAACTTCTTATTTTCCCTTCTGCACTATAAGAAGAAATAGCTTCTGAGAATCCATGTCCTTAAAGAATGTATAGCAGAAGATAGAGAAGAATGAAAGGGCAGAGTGTTGGGAGAAAGGCATAGGAAAGCTGTAGTGATACAAAGTCTGTACTATGCATCCGAAGTATATTAACTCTTATTACTTGATTTTTATTTTGGTGTTTATATTATACAACATGGTTCTTATTAAAAGATTGACATTTGTTGTAATTATATAAAAATGTATTCCTAATTATGAATTAGATTTAATAATTTGTCCTATGTGTGTTCTAAATAAAGCATTGAAAGAGAACAGCTCAGAGGTTGTACAGCCTTTCCTAATGGGTTGTGGAACCAAGGAACCGAAGATCACTCAGCTGTGTTTGGCTGCCATTCAGAGACTCATGTCACACGAAGTTGTGTCTGAGGTAATACAGAAATTTTATTTGAACTGCACATAGAGTCAGATCTGTATATTTCGTATAAAAGAATGAAACTTACCTTTTATTTAATGTAAAAGTTTTGTGAATAGCAATGTACTTGAAGAAAATGGCTTAATTTTAAAATATTGTCAAATTGTCTCCTTAAATACTAAAAAGTTACAAATAAGGATGAAATACATTTTGTCAAGTCATTTGTAATCTAAGTCACAATTCAGTAGTATAGATGGTAATGTTAGAATCAAGTAAGTTTTCAATGTCATTGAAAATTTATTTAATAAAATTCTTGTGTTTTTTAAAAGGTAGGAGAGAAAATGATGACTATTTTCTAGATTATCTGAAGTTCTAATATGTTGTTCATTAACTTAAATATATTGTTAGTATCTAAACTGATGATGGTAAAACAAGAAAAAATATTTCATTACTATGAACCTGCATCTTGCTTTCAAATTTTACCTTAATTTTGTACTCCATAAGTACTACAATAAAAGTGGTAATTCTTTTGGTCTTGGTATGGTTTCCTAAACAATGTCAGATTTAATTGAGTATACAATGTATTGTCAATTTGCATTGTATTTTATTTTTATAATGTATTATAAATGAAGTAATATATAAGAAAAGCAGACTCCTAGTTTGTATATGACCATAACTGGATGAAAAATGCCTGTATTATTGTAGAAATTAGTTTTGATTTTGACTAGGTATTTCAGAACTGCATGCTGTTTGTTGCTATGTTGCATTTTTAGGAAATTACCTTTTTTTAAGAATATTATTAATTGGTTATAAATATCAAACTTGTTAAGAGATGTGTTTGGATCTATACATCTAAAAGTATGATTTTTTTGTTACTTTGATAAAGAATATTCTCAAATGAGGTAATATTTGACCCCTTTTTTTCTTTGGCACCTAAAACCTAAATTACCTGTTGACAGTTCTTAAAATAATGTTTTACAGACTGCTGCTGGGAATATAATTAACATGCTTTGGCAGCTAATGGAAAATAGTCTTGAAGAACTTAAGCTACTTCAAACAGTTCTTGTTCTCTTAACAACCAATACAGTAGTCCATGATGAGGCACTGTCTAAGGTAGGAAACCTATTTGTCAGTTGATAAATGCTTTGAGACAGTTTTTGAATAAGCTGGCTGAAAAGAACAAGTCTGGTGCTTTTGGAATCAAAAGCAACTTTCCTGTAGTTATCATGATGATCAGTATTGTACTTTAATAATCATTGGTGCCTTTGTTTTTCTCCAGATTAGACTTAAAATCATGTCAAGATCCTTAAGCAAAGCTCCTTAGGTATTGCTGATGGGTTTAGTTAAGATAAGAGGAAGAGAGAAGAAAGAGGGAAAAATGTGTCATATGGTATTGCCTTGGCTATTTTAGATCCCTATGATAGCTCTCCCTTTTCTCCTTTTAAAAATAATTTCACATGTATATGTTATATAAACCAAACAGTTCAAATCTAGTCTCCTTTCAGTATTATACTGGGTAAACCTGCATATGTAATGGTATTTCTCACTTTACCTCTCCCACCCTTGGAACATGTAACAGTTGTTTTATTCTTTATCTAACTCTTTATTTAATTTTTTATAAGGAAATAAACAGAAGGGAGACTAGTAGAGGAAGAGTAATAGGGGGAGGGAGGAAGGGAGGGAAAGAGGAGGCACTGGGGACTGATGGAGCAAATTAAATTCCATGCATGTATGATTATGCCATAATGAACCCAACTATTATGTAAAACTATAATGCACCAATAAAAGCATTTTAATTAAAATTATGAAATATTTCTAAAGAATAAAAAGTACAGAGTAATATGAAGAATAGTCTTCAATTAATGATTTATTGTCTAAGGATTGTTTTGGATTTTCAATAATAGTTTTATTATAATTTGCATGTTTTTAAGGACAGCCTATAAAGAAGGATACCTTTTTTTTGGTGGCTGGATACAGGTATTGAACCTGGGGGCCCTTAACCACTCACTTAAGCCACATCCCCAGCCCTTTTTAATTTTTTTATTTTGAGATAGGGTCTTACTAAGTTGCTGAGGCTGGCTGCCCTTGAACTTGTGATCCTTCTGCTTTAGTCTCCTGAGCCACAAGGCTCACAGGCATGCCCGACCATGTCTGGCTACTGTCACATTAAACTATGTATATTATTTCAAGTGGTTATATCTCCCTCTTTTCAGTTGTTAATTTGATGTTATTAGGTCATTGTGAGATTTTATTTAATAGCAAATAGTTTATTCTTTTAACTTCACATCTGCTACAGAAAATGTTTTATGTATTTTTGCATACTCTTTTAATCACTGTTCCTCTTAGTTTCTTGCTATCAAATTATTGTTCTTTTATATGTCAGTTGTCCTACTAAAGAAATAAGAACTGATCACAGGGTTCATTTTAGTGTGCTAGCAAATTGGAAATAAAATATTTGGGGATCAAAAATCAATAGTAAATAAGACAAAATTGAGAAATTTGAAAGCTTCCATGTATCTATAAAATATGCCTTCCTTTATACTGAAATATAAAAAATAATAGTGGTATCAAAGACTTATTTCTTCAAAAATTTTTAACAATAATTAAAGTAATAAGGTATAGAATCTGACTTACCATTATATTTTTTTTCACAAACAACCTCTTTTTAAACTATGAGACTCTCAGAAGAACATATAGGGCAAAATTATTGTGATATTGGGGTAGGCAAAAATGTTTTAGAGTACAAAATCCATGAACTATAAAAGGAGCCATAAAATGGAGGAAAAAATTAGCAAATATCTGACAATAGACATATATCTAGACTATATAAAGAACTCTTATAAAGATTAACAACTGAGTAAAAATGGATGAATGATTTTGACACTTGACAAAATAGGATATTCAAATGGCAAGCAAACATATGAAAAGAGAATCACCATTATAATTTATCAATGAAATGTAAATTATAACCCCAAGGAGTCATCATTATATATCCATTAGGATACAGTTTAAAAAGATTAACCATTTCAAGTCCTCTTGAAGATATTGAATAGTTCTGAACTCATATATACTACTGGTAGGAATGTAAAATTGTAAATCTATTTTGGGAAACTGTCAGTTTCTTAAAAAGTTAAACTTCATTACCAGATGACCCAGCCATTTCACTCCTACATGTTTTCCCAAGGTGAATGAAAATGAACTCACAGAGACTTGTATGTGAGTTTTTAAAGCAGTTTTATATAAAGTAGCCCCAAACTGAAAACTACCTAAATGTCATCATCAACAGGTGAAAGGATAAACAAAAATTTTATACTTGTATTGTGGAATCTATTCAACTACTCATATAGAACAGCATAGATGAATAACACAATTATTAATTAAGTGAAAGAAGCCAGACACAATACATAGTGAATGAATCTGTTTATAAAGTTGTACAAAATGCTGGCTAATCTCTAAAAAAAAGCAGATGGGTGGTTAACTGTGGCCAATGGTAGAGGAAGAGAAGGACTGCAGAGGTGCCCAAAGAAACTTCTGAGATGATGCAAATGCTGTGTATTCTGATTATGGCTCTATTTCTGAGGACCTGCGTGTCAAACATAACTCATTAAACTATATATTTTGAAGGGATGCAGTTTATTGTTGGAAATTACACCTTAATAATGTTGATTTTAAAGAGAAAGAAAGAATGACTCTATAAAAGCACACTATATGTGTATTTATTTATATACCTAGCACTTTGTATAGTTTTTCTCCAGATGATTTAATGACATATCAAGTGTTTAATTCTAACTATTTGCAGAGCAAGTCATTCTGGGGAAATAAAAGCATGATGCATTATTACACACATGTTAAAAGAATCAAATTTTGCTGGGCATGGTGGTACATGCCTGTAATCCCAAGGACTCAGGAGGCTGAGAAAGGAGGATTGGGATTCAGAGCCAGCCTCAGCAAAGTGTTAAGAAACTCAATGAGACCCTGTCTCTAAATTAAACAAATAAATAAATAAAATTATAAACACATAAAATTGTTTGTTTGTTTATTTATTATTTTATTTAGAGACCCCGTCTCTAAAATATTGCATACAATATTTGTCTCTTAAAATTATGCATATAACATTTGTTGTATCATCAAATCATTTGGAAAACAGAGAGACCCTATCTCCAAATAAAATAGGGCCGGGGCTTTGGCTTAGTGGTTGAGTGTCCCTGAGTTCAATTCGTGGTACCAAAAACAAAAAATCAAATTTTTTAAAAAAGTGTATTTCATATTACATTAGCCAATCTTACATGGCTATATTGGTTACCAAGAGTTTGAATTATTTTAAAATCTGAGGGTATTTTAGTTTTATTGTATAAAAAGGTGAGACACTAATCTCTGAGAAACAGTTATACATAAATTATTTAATTTGAGGTTACATCTGGTAAAGTTAATGGCCATACCTTCAATCTTATTTCACACTAAATGAAAATTGTTTTTGTAGGCAATTGTTCTTTGTTTTCGACTACACTTCACAAAAGATAATATTACAAATAATACAGCTGCTGCTACTGTGCGACAAGTTGTTACTGTGGTTTTTGAGAGAATGGTTGCTGAAGATGAACGATACAGAGGTAAAGTGGTAAAAGTTGTTTCCTTTTGATTTGGAAATGTTCTTACATGCGTGATTCATTTTCATTAATTTTTAGCATTTTCCCTGTGAGCACAGAATATCTAAAAACTAGAAAACTTTAAAAATATTTATTTTAAGATATTTATTTTAAAATATTATTGTCAACAACAGCAATTTTGAAAATAAATCCCTCACAATTTAGGAGGCTTTTGCTTTTCCATTTGTATTTATAATGCATGCATAATTTTGTATTGAAGATAATAGTTTCACATTTTCTGCAGTTTGTATTTTTTCACATACTGCATTGTTTGTATTTTTACCCAAACATTATATCTTATAGATTTTTCATGTTATTCTTTTATCTACATAATTTAAAATTTGATAGCTACATTGTATTTTTTGTCTATTCTGTAATTTAGTGAACTAGTCTTCTATTGGATATTTGCATGGTATTTGATTTAGAGCTGTTTTAAGTGCTAAGTTGGGAAACACCATTCTAGTTGACTCTTACCCAGTGAATATCTGTAGCTGACAGATTAATAATGGCAGATCAGGCAGTTAATTCTTTTGAAGATGGTGAGATAATAGAAGAACTAACCATAAGGTAATCTTTTTACATTTATTTGATACTTAAAGGCACATTGAAAGATCATGTGAATTTTATATCTGTGAGACAAAGAGGCCAAAATGGGATTTTAGGAAAATCAAATGCATGGACAAAGATATAAGGCTTATTAAAGTGATTATAAGATAATGAAGAGTGATTTTTAATGGCATTTTATATAAAAATAGATCCTCAATTATGTTTTCATTCTGGGGACATAGTTCTGAAGTTATAATTAAAGTTTATAATTATATAATTAAATAGCTTATTTAAAATATATCCTTTAAACAGAATATAAGATTTATTAAAGGCCACTATGAACTCCTAAAACCTATCCTATTTTGATTGCAGATATTATAGAACAGCCAGTACTGGTGCAAGGAAATAGTAACAGAAGATCTGTCAGTACTCTCAAACCTTGTGCTAAAGATGCATATATGCTTTTCCAGGTATTTCAGTTGATAAAAATAATTTTTATTGTACAGTTTTTTATGACTTTCATTTCAGAATTTTATATCTAATTTAGTTTTTAGTGTGAAAATGTAAAAATCTATTTCAAAGTAGGTATTAAAATAGTTCTAAAAGATTAAAAAACAACTTTTACATTTACAGTATAGCTAATTAACATAATAAAATATTGCAATTCACTTTAAGGAAATAAAAATGTATTACTAGAACTAGAGATTAGATATATTAGAGATGATTAGTTATACAAAAAAATATTTTTTTCAACAAAGAAAATTTAAGAATAAACCTCTGATCTATATTATATAATTTGATAGAAGCCTACTTTTTATATCATTTCTCATGAATGAATTGTTTTAAATAAAATAAAATTCATCTGTACTGAAAATTTTAATTTTCATTTAAAATGTTAGATCAATTATTTGTCTATCTACTCTATCTGCTATTTATATTGTCAATAGTTATATGATTCTATACATATTTACATATACAATTTAAATTAGCTATTGCTTAGTTTCTAAAGAAGGGAGGTTTTATTCTTTCTTTTTTTTTAATTTCATAAACTGAGTTTTTAGAAAGCACATTTCCTCCTAACACATGAAATTGTTTATTTTTCCAGGATCTTTGTCAATTGGTTAATGCTGATGCCCCTTACTGGCTAGTAGGCATGACAGAAATGACTCGGACATTTGGCCTTGAATTGCTTGAGTCAGTCCTCAATGATTTTCCACAAGTCTTTTTACAGGTAAGCCATTAATAGTATTTTTTTAAAAAATAAATCTTTAATTTTTTTCACAGATATTTTTCAAAAAAACATATTTTTTATATATTAATAAATGCAAAGATTTAAAAGCCCCAGAGTTTAGACATATAATAATTTAGTATTAGCTTACTTTTTTTTTTTATACTGGGGATTGAATCCAGGGGCTCTTTACCACTGAGCTATATCCCCAGTCTTTTTTTTTTTTTTGAGACAGTGTATTTAAGTTGCTGAGGATCTTGCTAAATTGCTGAGGCTGGCCTTGAACTTGCATTTTTTAACCACAGTCTAGCTCTTTCTCTTACTGTGCTGTTTCCCTCCCTAAGTAATATATTTTGTCCATTGTTTTTATCTACAAAATGTGTGAATCAAGTGTAAATAGTGTAAGGTCTTTTTTGGCTTGAGAATTTGAGCTAAAATTACTTTTATGTGGTTCATAATTTTTGGTATACATTAAGCAACTATTAAATGCTTTTGGTGATAATGAATTGTATTTACTGATGATTCCTTTCCTCTTGGTACAGTAGGAAAAGCAGTAGATATAACTTGTCCAATAGTTTTGTGTAAAATGGTTGTTATTGTCATAATAATCACTATTGTTTGACTGTCATCTAAATGCTATGTGCCAGATTCTTTACACATCATATTTTCTTTTAATTTTCCCAAATGCCTTAAAAGTACTAGTTATTCCTATTGTCCCCATGAGGAAACTGTAACTTTCAGAAAGTTAAATACTTTGTCTAAGATTTCATGGTTTGTAAGTGATAGAATTGGGAATTAAACTCATGTCAACCAAATTCCAAATTAGTTTCTCTTCCTTTCTTCTTTATTTACATCCTATATCTCAGTCATTATCTTCAAAATATATTCAGGGCCCAGTTAATTCTAAACCATTTCTACCACAATGATCATTGTCAAATCCATTCTCACCTAAATTATTGTGTTAGTTTCCTAACTGATCTCTTATGGTGTACACTTGTGCTACGTGTGTGTGTGTGTGTGTGTGTTGGTAGTGCTGGTATATTGAACCCAGGGTCTTGTATGTGTATGTAACACTATATTCGAATGGGTTTTTCAAAGAAGTCATATCTTTTTAGTCTCTCTCTTTTTTTTTTTTGGTCCTGGTGATTGAACCCAGGGGTGCTTAACCACTGAGTCATGTTCCCCAGCCGTTTTTTATATTTTATTTAGAGACAGGGTCTTGTTGAGTTGCTAAGTGCCTTGCTAATCTGTAGAGGCTGGCTTTGAACTAGCGATCCTCCTGCCTCAGCTTCTGGAGTTGCTGGGATTACAGGCGTGCACCACCGCACTCAGCCTTTACAGTCCTTTTTAAAAATATGTCAATTAATGTCTTCTTTACCCAGAATAAAAGATGAAGCCCTGTTTTGATATGTGGAACTTGCCATAATTTAGTCTTCAATTTCTTTGGTCTTTTATCTCATTTCATTTCTTGCTTTGGCCTCACCCTTTAGCCACACTTCACCCAAGCACACTCTTGCCTCAAGGCCTTTGTTATTTACTGTTTTCTGGATCTGGAATGCTTTTCTTCCGTGTGGTTTACTATCTTATTTCTTTGAGGTTTTTGCTCAATGGTCTACTTAACAGGCATTTCTTCCCTAACCACTTTGTGTAAAATGGCACACTTTTTAATGTCAGCACACTTATTTTTCCAATCCTTCTTTGTTTTTTATAGTATTTATTATCTCCTGATATATAATAACATATTCAGATTTATTATACCCATGAAATTTCTATGTTATTCTTCCTACTATAATACAGAGAGATAAAGTAATTCTTCTATGAAAGATCTTAGAATTTAGTCCTGAAAAAAATTTTCAGAGACAGATATTAGTTTTCTTTTACTCATCACTCACACATATATTCAAAATTTACCAGACACTCACAGTGTATTGGTCTGTGTTCCATGCCAAGAATATGACAGGTAAAATCCTTGCCTGTATGACCCATTCACAGCTAATGAGGAGAAAGGTATTAACTTAATGATAACACATGATGACTGCTCTTCAGGAAAAACAATTAAAAAAATACTGTGCAAATGAATAACTTGGATACCAAACTTGGTAGACTAGTAGAGATGAATAGAAGAGATGATGCTTAAGCTTGTACTTGAAGGATGAAGTAAGTTAGATTTAGGCAAAATGGAAAAAGAATACTTCGTGCAGAGTGTGTTTCAAGAGCAGTTAAATTAGGATAGGAGCTGTTTTCCTTTCTAAAAATAAGCTCTTGGATAGGGGCATTGAAAATTGTACTTAATTCTGTATCCCTTTCTCTAGCACAGTGCCTGGCAAGTAATTGCTGAATCAGTAAGTGAAGTAGTTTAGTAGGTGATGAAAAATGCAGTCTTAGAGACGACTTCTATCTTTTTGGCCCAAGCAGTTAATGATTTGCTAAGATGAAGTACTCCGGTGGACAGAACTTTTATTATAAGAAATATATTATTTAGTTTCATACGTATTCATTTGGAGTGTCTGTGAGACATGCAAAATGTTATTTGGACTTACATGCGTCTTGAAGTTTGGGGCTAAGACTTATATTCCTTTTCCATAAGATTAAAAAGATTAGCTTGGATGATTTTTATGATTCTTTCTTTGTTTATAATAGTAGCTTCAATGAAATTTTATGTGATTAAAACACCAAAATAAAATATACTTGAAGTTAATCATTAAGTGCAGATCGTGCCTTGTTTGTCACTAAAATGAGACTACTCTTAAGTAACACAGAGAATGAGAATCAAGGGAAGTTTTCTGTATAATATATGATGACTACAAATAAAATTTAAGAATTCTTTAAAAAATTCTCCATCTTATAAAATTGTGCTAGGTTATCATTGCATATTTCATCAGCTTGTGTTCTGTTCAAGTAATCCAACTAGCACAAAACCAAGTTATTTATTAAATCTTCTCTATATGAATGGGATTATTCTTTGCAAAATATAATCAGTGAATTTTATAACTTATTCTACTTTATTAATCAGGTTTTCACTCCTCAGTTGTCCATTCAACACTGTTTGCTTGTATTTGTGAAATCTGTTTTTTTTTATTCTTTGTTTTTAATCACCAATATCCAATTAAAAGTTTCTAGTAATGAGCACCAGTTCCTCAACTCTAAAATAATTCATGTTTCTTTTTAATGATTATTGAAGAAACTGTTGAAATATTAATATTTTTCTAAGACCTCTTAACAGCAATGTGAGTTTCAAATTTGTGTGCAAATTGTAAAATAATAAAATATATACTTACAATTAAGCTAAATTATTTATACTGATTTTTACTTGCTAGCAAGACTATTTTAGAGGTATTGAGTACGAACTAATTTCATTCTTTTTTCTTCTTTGCAAATAGCACCAGGAATTTAGTTTCCTCCTCAAAGAAAGAGTATGTCCTCTTGTGATAAAGCTCTTTTCTCCAAATATAAAGTTCAGACAAGGTTCAAGTACTTCATCTTCCCCAGCACCTGTTGAAAAACCATATTTTCCTATCTGTATGCGATTGCTGAGAGTAGTTTCTGTCCTGATTAAGCAGTTTTATAGTCTTTTGGTAAGTGCTATTTTCTATACATATTTGTATATATTCATATGCAGTGCTTTTTAAAGAAAGTGGTCTATTTATGGTGTTAGTTTTTTTTCAATTCAGTTCTACAGAATTTTTTTTTGATTACATACAAGTGTTCTCTCAAGTACTCTAAAATTTCATTCTGTCCTTTTTTTGAATCTTATTTGCGTTTATATAGTATTTATAATGTATGTCAAGGAGAGTAATAACCTGTTATCTCAAAGCAGCATAGGATTTATGTTTTAAGAATTCAGCTTTTTATGTAACTCATAATAACCAAGTTATGGAGCCAGCCTAAAAGCTTATTCACAGATGAATGTATAAAGAAAATGTGGTATATATACACAATGGAGTATTACTCAGCCATAAAAAAGAATGAAATTATGGCATTTACCACTAAATAATGGAACTGGAGACTACCATACTAAGAAAAATAAGCCAGAAGCAGAATTCAAAGTTAAAATGTTTTATCAGATATGCAGAAACTAGCCCAAAATAAGGAAAAAAAGAAAAGGTAGGGAGAATTCTATCAAAAAAAGAAGAAAAATCAGTGGAGTTGAAGAAGGGTTAAGAGGGAAGGAGGAAAGATTGGTAAGGAAAGAACAGTTGAATGAATCTGACCTAACTTTCCTATGTATATACAGCAGTGAATCTTATTATTATGTGTAACCACAAGGCACTACTTAAAAAAACAAACAAACAAACAAAAAACTGTAATAGCAGAAAGATCAGTAGAGTGGAGGGAAGAGAGTAGGGGGAGGGAAGAGGGGGGAAAGGGGAAATACTTGGGACAGAATTAGAGCAAATTATATTCCATGCTTTTTAATTATGTTAAGTGAATCCTAATGTTATATGTAACTATAAAGAACTAATAAAATAAAAACAAAAGGAGAAGGACTCAGTAAGATGCGATATCCATGTTCACATTTCTGACTAATTAAAATTGGAGTTGTCTTTATTAATATAGTTAGGAATATTTTCAAGTTTCTAAGATAAAAGTTGAAGATTCTGATTTTTCTATTTCTTGCAGTTGTTACAGAAATAATTTCTAAATAATTTGTAACAAAAAGAATTCAACTTTGTAGCTCATATGAATAATAATTAAAATTATAGTATCCAGTATATTCTACTTTTATTTATACTATTTCATATGTCTTCACAGATTAAAGCAAATTTATTAAAGATTTGATGGAATCAAGGATAAGAAATATAATATTTTTCTTTACTTCCAATCCATTTTATATCTCTTTTTGCATAACTTTATGATGTGGAATATGTTGTAATATTCTTGATCATAGTGCTATTTCTGTTATGGTTTCCTCCTAAACGTTCAAGTGGTATTTCTCAGAAAATGGTTCATTATAAAAAAAAAAGAAAATGGTTCATTATGTTTCTTTTTAGTTTTATTAATTTAAATCAGTATCATATAATATTTTCACATTTGTAACCTATTTTTAATGAACAAAAGTAGACAACACAATAATGGTAAGAGACTTTAGTATCACATTTTCTATGGTGTGTAGAACAAGTGGACATAAGACCAGTAAGATTTGTAGGGAAACACAGAGGCCTGATCAACACTGTAAGCCAATTGGACTTAAGAGCATGTGTAGAATACTGAACCCAACATTAGCAGAACACATAATCTTCTCAAGTGCACATGAGACATTCTCCAGTATAGATCACGGTAGACCATAAAAGACAAATTTAGGTCTTAACAGATTTAGGAAGATTAAAATCATAGTAAGCATCTTCCTTGACAACAGTGGAATAAAACCAGAAATTGGTAGAAGAAAAAAAATAGGGGCAATAAAGTCACAAACATGGCAATTAAACAACACACTCTTAATGGTTCAAAAAATAAATCAGAAGGGAAATTAGAATATATGTTGAAACAAATGAAAATGAAAATATAACTTATGAGTTGCCATTAAAGTACTATCAAGAGAGAACTTTATGGTAAGGAATACCTTCATAAAAAGGAAGAAAAATCTAAAATTTGCAATTTAACTTTACACCTCAACAGTGTAGAAAAATGAACAATCTAAATCCAAAGTTAGAAAAAGGAACAAAATAATAAAAAATCACAGCATAAATGAAATAGAAAAATAGATACCACTGGGAGTTGGTTTTTGTAAATCCATAAAATCAGCAAACCCTTAGTTAGACTAAACAGAATGCTTAACAATTTCAGAAATGAGAGAGGAGAAAGCTGATGCCACAAAAGTATAAAGGATTATAAAGGACAACTATGAATAGCTATACAACAAAAAATTGTATAACCTTGAAGAAATAAATTCCTTGAAACTGATGATCTACCAAGATGGAATCATAATAAAAAATTTGAATAGAATCATAACTAGTAAAGAGATTGAATCAATAATCAAACATCTCATAACAAAGAAAAGCCCAGAACCAAATGGCTTCACAGGTGAACCCAAACACTGAAAGGAGAATTAACACCAGTCTTTCTCAAAAATCTTCCAAAAAATTGAAGAGAAGAAAATACTTCCAAACTCACTGTATGACGCTAATATTACCTTGATTCCAAAGTCAAAAGATATTACAAGAAACTATAAATCAGCATTCCTGATGAATATTGTGGCAGAAATTCTCAACAAACTATAAGGAAACCAAATTCAGTTGCACATTAAAAGATCATCAAGGGCTGGGGATATAGCTCAATAGAGTGCTTGCCTCTCATGCACAAGGCCCTGGGTTCAGTCCCCAGCAAAACACACACACACACACACACACGTCATTAAAACCATGACCAAGTGGGATATATTCCTGGAACACAGGATATTTTAACATAGGGAAAGCAGTTCATGTTGTCTACCATGTTGTTTTGTTTGTCATGTAAAAACACATGATCATCTCAACTGATTTAGGAAAAGCATTTGATAAAATTCATTACCCTTTCATAATACTCAGAAAACTAGGAATTGAAGTAAACTACCTCAATATAATAAAGACCTTCTATGAAAAATCAGTAACTAATATCACAATCAAAACTTCAAAGTCTTTCCTGTAAGGAAACAAGGCATGGTTGCCTGTATCTACACTTATATTCAACATAGTACTAGAAGTTCTAGCCAGAGCAATTGGGAAAGAAAAAGAAATGAGTCATCCAGACTTGAAAGGAAGAAGCAAACATATCTGTTTATAGATGACATGATCTTATGTGTAAGTAGTCCTAAAGAATCTGTACAATACAACTTATTAGAGCCAATAAACAAATTCAACATGCAAAAATCAGTTGTATTTCTATACACGAACAGTGAACAATTCAAGAAAGAAATTAAGAAAGCATTTCTATTGACCATTGAATTAAAAAATACAATATTTAGGTATAAACTTAGCCAAGCTGGCCAAAGACCTGTACACTAAAAGCCAAAAATATTGCTGAAAGAAAGACACAAATGGGAAAACATCCAGCGTTCATGATTAGAAGATTTAATTTTGTTAAAATGACCATACTACCCAGAGTGATCTGCAGATTCGGTGCACTCTCTATAAAAATTCCAACAGCATTTTTTACAGAAATAGAAGATCCATTCTAAAATTTATAGAATCTTGAAGGACCTGACTTGTCAAAATGAATCTTGAGAAAAAAAGAACAGATTTGGAGACCTCACACTTCCTGATCTTAAAGCATATTGCAAAACGAGGGTAATCAAAAGCAGTTGGCTACTGGCACAAAGAAAGACATAAAGACCAGTGGAAGAGAATAGAGAACCCAGAAATAAGCCCTTGCATATATGGCTAAATGATCTTTAATAAGAATGCCAAGCTCACTCAATGGGGAAAGGACAGCCTCTTCAACAGTAGAGCTAGAAAAGTTATAATGAGAAAATCGTTAAGGAAGCCAGCACCTACCAGAAGAATGAAGTTGTATCTTTACCTTATATCACAAAAAACTCAAAATGGATATACCACCTAAATAGAAGACTTAAAATCATGAAGTTTCTTAAAAATATAAAAATTAAAAAAAAATAAAACCACCTTGGGGAAAATATTTATAACACTGGATTTAGCAATGATTTCTTAGTACTGACACCAAAAGCAAAAGTAAACGAATGGTATTACATCAAACTTAAAACCCCCCACACCTCAAAAGAAACTGTCAACAATTTGAAAAGGCATTTTGTGTGTGTGTGTGTGTGTGTGTGTGTGTGTGTGTGTGAGAGAGAGAGAGAGAGAGAGAGAGAGAGAGAGACTGGAGATTGGTTCCAGGAGCACCCTACCACCAAACTATATCCCTATCCCTTTTTTTGTTTTGTTTTGTTTTAAATATTTTTGTTGATAGACCTTTATTTTATTTATTTATATGTGGTGCTGAGAATCAAACCCAGTGCCTCACACATGCCAGGCAAGTGCGCTACCACTGAACCCCAGCCCCAACCTTCCCCATACCTTTTTTATTTTTTATTTTGAGAGTCTCACTCAGTTACTGAGGCTGGCCTTGAACTTGCAATTTACCTGCCTCAGCCTCTTGAGTCCCGGAGATAAAGACATGTATCCCATGCCTGACTCAGAAAGGCAATCTTTAGAATGAGAGAAAATACTTACAAGTCATATGTCTGATAAGGGGTTAATATCCAGAATATATAAAAAACTACAGGTCAACAACAATAGCAACAAAACCCCTAGTAACTTAATTAAAAACAGGCAAAGGCCATGAATGGACATTCCTCCAAAGATACACAGATATCCAACAAGCATGTGAAAAGATGCTCAACCTGTCAAATCATTTTAGAAATGCAAAGCAAAATGACAGTGAGATATCACCTCATACCTATTAGGATGGTCACTATGAAAAAAAGAAAAAAGAAACAGGCAAAAAAAAATAGAAAATAACAAGTGTTGGCAAAGATGTGGAGAAATTGGAACCTTTGTATTCTATTGATGGGAATGTAAAATGGTGGAGCTACTGTGGAAAACAGTATGGTAGTTTCTCAAATTAAAATAGAATTACTAGCTTTTTCATAACGGGTTTGCTACCAGAACACAGGTGTTGTGAAAACCACAGCTAAATCAAAGCCAAAATGGAAAGGTCATTAGACATGTAGATTTGGGCAAGTCCACCACTACTGGCCATCTGATCTACAAACATGGTGGGATCAACAAAAGAACCATTGAAAATTTTGAGACAGAAGCTGCTGAGATGGGAAAGAGCTCCTTCACATACACGTGAGTCTTGGATAAACTGAAAGCTGAGCATGAGTGTGGTATCACCATTGACAGCTCCCTGTGGAAATATCAGACCAGTAAGTATTATGTGACTATCATTGATGCCCCAGGACACAGAGACTTTATCAAAAATAGGCATATTTCAGGCTGACTGTACTGCCCTAATTGTTGATGCTGATGTTGGTGAATTTGAAGCTGGTATATCCAAGGATGAATAGACCTCTGAGCACGCCCTTTGGCTTACACACTGGGTCTGAAGCAAACAACAAGTCACCAAATAATTGTTGGTGTTAACAAAATGGATTCCTCTGTGGCATTCTACAATCAGAAGAGATATGAGGAAATCATTAAGGAAGTCAGCACCTACATTGAAGAATATTGGCTACAACACTGACACAGTAGTATTTGTGCCAATTTCTTGTTGGAATGGTGACATGTTGGAGCCAAGTTCTGATATGCTTTGGTTCAAGGGATAGAAAGTCACCCATAATGATGGCAGTGGAACCACACTGCTTGAAGCTTTAGATTGCATCCTGCTGCCAACTCGTCCAACTGACAAGCCTTTGCATCTACCCCTCTAGGATCTACAAAATTGGAGATATTGGTACTGTCCCTATGGGCCAAGTGGAGACTAGTGTTATCAAGCCTGGCATGGTGGTCACCTTTGCTCCAGTCAATGTCACAACTAAAGTAAAGCCTGTTGAAATGTAGCATGAATCTCAGAGTGAAGCTCTTCCTGGACAGTGGGGGCTTCAATGTCAAGAACATGTCTGTCAAAGATGTTCGTCATGGCAGTGTTGTGGTGACAGCAGAAATGATCCACCAATGGAAGCAGCTGGTTCCACTGCTCAGGTTGATTATCCTGAACCATCCAGGATAAATCAGTGCTGACTATGCCCTTATACTGGATTGTCACACAGCTCACATTACTTGTAAGTTTGCTGAGCTGAAAGAAAAGACTGATAACTGTTCTGGTAAGAAGCTGGAAGATGGTCCTAAATTCTTGAAATCTGGTGATGTTGCCATCATTGACATGGTTCCAGGAAAGCCCATGTGTGTTGACAGCTTCTTGGGCTGTCCTCCTCTGGGTTGTTTTGCTGTTTGTAATATGAGGCAGACAGTTGGTGTGGGTGTCATCAAAGCAGTGGACAAGAGGGCTGCTGGAGCTGGCAAGGTCACCAAGTCTGCCCAGAAAGCTCAGAAGGCTATTTGAATGTTATCCTTAACACCTGCCACCCCAGTCTTATTCAGTGGTGGTCTCAGACTTTTTGTCTCAATTGGCCATTTAAGTTTAATAGTAAAAGACCAGTAAATGATAACAATGTATTATAAAACCTTTAGAAGGAAAGGAGAATGTTTTGTGGACCATTTGTTTTTTGTGTGTGGCAGTTTTAAGTTGTTAGTTTTTAAAATCAGTACTTTCTTCTTTCTTTCTTTCTTTTTTTTTTTTTTAATGAGTATAAGGGATTGAACTCGAGCACTCAACCACAGAGCCACATCCCCAGCCCTATTTTGTATTTTACTTAGAGACAGGGTCTCACTGAGTTGCTTAGCACCTCGCCATTGCTGAGGCTGGCTTTGAACTCTGGATCCTCCTGTCTCAGCTTCCCTAGCCACTGGAATTACAGTTGTGCACCACCGCGCCTGGCTAAAATCAGTGCTTTTTAATGGGAACAACTTAACCAAAAATCTGTCACAGAATTTTGAGACCCATTGGAACAAAAGTTTAATGAGAAAAAAAAAAAATAGAATTACCATGTGATCCAACAGTTCAATTTCTGGCTGTATACCCAAAAGAAAATATGATATAAAGAAATATTTGCACACTTGTGTTTATTGAAATGTTTTCTATAAAAGCCAAGAAGTGGAAACAGTTCAAATGTTTATTGACAGATGAACAGATAAAGATGACAGTATATACATTTATTATGTTATTTAGCCATAGAAAGAGAGAAGTCCTGTTCAGTGGAGCCTTGAGGACATTATGTTGAGTAAAATAGGCCAGTCACAGAAAAACAAATAGTGTGTGATTCCTCCTGTATCTAGAGTAAGTTCATGGAGACAAAATATGGTGATTTCCATGGACTGAGGAATAGGGTCTTGAATGGGTGTAGAGTTTCAATTTTACAAGTTGAAAAAGTTCTAGGGATCTATTATACAACAATGTGAATATAGTTAACACACTACTGTTCTGTATACTTAAATATAATTAAAAGAATGAGTTTAATGTTATGTATTTTTACCATGATTTAAAACTTTTTAAAATGTCAGCAAAATAGTAAAAGTAAAAATAATTAGGATATAGAAATATCAGTCAGTATGGAGTGTCAAGAGATTTTTAAAAAGAGAATGAAATATAAGGATCAGTGTAGTTGTACTGTTATGTTAAATCATTGCCAGGCCTTGTGGTAGTGAAGTCAAAGTGTTTAGAAATTTTTTATTGTCATGAGGCCAAATAAATACCACTTCCCTACTTGTTCCCTAAATATTATTGGCAGGGTTGAAGAGGACTTACTGGTGTGCTATACTTTCTAAAGAATAAGGATAAAGGATTAACTATGTTAGCAGAATACTAGTGTTTTCAGGGATGTACTAAGGAGATACTATGAGTATTTTTATTGCTAACTTTTCTTTATAATTACTTTTGTCTTTTTCTCTAATCACCATTAAGAATTTTTATTTCAAATCTAAAAGATTTTATTGTCTATGGCACTAAATTAAGAGTAAGAATGCAACTTTTTATTATTTTGTTTGATTCAAACAAATATAAAAAACCCTATACTTTTTAGGTAACTGAATGTGAAATATTTCTGTCACTTTTGGTGAAATTTCTGGATGCAGATAAACCACAGTGGCTACGAGCTGTTGCGGTTGAATCAATACACAGATTATGTGTGCAGCCTCAGCTGTTAAGGTAAAACCTCAGCAATATTTTGTAATGGATAGGTTAATAAACTAGTAGTAGGTTAGTAAACTAGTGGGAAGATTTTAAGTATTCCCAAATATTAGTGATTTTTAAACAGAAAATGTGTATAATTTATATATATGTATAAATATATGAAGGGACAGGGTGGAGGCATGGCAACGAATGAAGTCAAAACATGTAGTTAATAATTGCCATCTGTCTGAATTTGCTGAGTAAATATAGCCAAGATCATTTTTTTAGAACATTGACTTCAATATGAACCTTTGTCCTAAATTGGTAAAATTACTCAGGTGTGATGAAGAATCTTTTGAGTATGGCATTGAAAGTACAATAACAACATTACTTGCTTTAAAAAAATACTAATTTTTTTAATGCATTCAAATTTTTTTCTCAGAAACATTTAAAATGATTTTACAGGTCATTTTGTCAGTCCTATGATATGAAACAACATTCTACCAAGGTTTTTCGTGATATTGTGAATGCACTGGGATCATTTATCCAGTCCTTGTTTCTTGTTCCTCCTACTGGAAATCCTGCTACAACCAACCAAGCTGGTAAAGCATATTCATATTTTGTTTTTATGTTCTGCTATAATTTACAATATTCACTGTTCTGAGAGGGTTTATTTTAGAAATTCTATCTAGAGAAATTTGGATTAAGTAAATATTTTTATAGTAACAATTTATACTTAACAAATAATTTGGTCTTACTGTGAAACAAATAATTTGGTCTTACTGTGACACTTATTTTTATTTTCTTTTCTGGTATATTTTTGTTTCTCTAATCATACAAGGACAAAAGTTTAGATACCATTCGTTTTAGAAGAATCTTCATTTGATTCCTCTTTTAAAAGAGACTAGATAGTTACTACTTTAGGAGGTTTGTCAGTCTCTTTTTTAACAAAAGAGATTAACATGTTTTAAGTTTGTTTTAAGCTTATTTCCTTTTACCTTCTTTATCACTTTGTACTATCTGTTTGATAGACTTTGTATTTTTTATTCCTACCTTTGGTAAAAAGAGGTCTAATCAAAAGTATAATAAAAATTTTGTTCAGGGCAACCTCTGTCAGGTCCCTCTTACCCTGAGGGAGTTCTGTCTCTTCTTACCTGAACAAATCCTATTTTTAAAAATATTTTTTCCATATTTTTACTTACGCTAATAGCTTTTGTATAAAAAAGGAAGTAGTGTTTTAGGGAAATAGATTTCTTTGGTAGACAGAATAGGTTAATAAATTTCATTTATATGTGTAATACCTATAGTACAGAAAAGAATTTGAAGATTGACCAGGTGTTTGAATAGTATTAATTTGTAATCAAGTAGTAAATTGGTATCTTTGCTTTCCCTCCTTATCTAATAGGCAACAATAATTCAGGTGGCCCAGTCTCAGCTCCAGCTAACTCAGGAATGGTGGGAATTGGTGGAGGTGTTACTTTGCTACCAGCATTTGAATATAGAGGAACTTGGATACCTATTCTGACAGTAACAGTTCAAGGCAGTGCTAAAGCCACCTAGTAAGTAGTGGTGACATTATTTTATAAGGAACAAAATAGTGTTAGGAATAATATTTAATCCTAAAATGCTTTTGTGTGTATTATATTTTAAATTTAGACCCCATATTTCTAATATATTTTAGAGCTCATTTGCTATTGTCAATTTTGAGGATTTTATTTAGAACTGGATTTTGTTTGTTTTCTTTTGTGCTATTTACATAGACTGTTAACAGCATTATAAAACAAATATGATTTCTTTACCTCCTCAAGTTTCCTACAAAACTACGTTTAGCAAATTAATCATTGTTTTAATTTAATGTCTCTCTTCTATAAAATGGAAGCACTGGTATATGTAACTTTCAACGTTCTACATGGGAGGAACGTTATTTTAAATAATTATTCTTGTTGTTAAGGTTAAACACGTGTTAACTCTGGTTCTTAATTTATTGAAACTGCAGTTAGCCATCAGTTTAACAAATAAATATTCAGCAATGTATTATTGATTTTAATAACTAGTGAAATGTAATACTAACAGAAATAAAGCAATCAATATTACATGGGTTTAATATTGCTTTAGTTACTGTGAGCCAGTTACTGATATACTTTGAATAATTGTTGTATATAAGTAAAATACTATTTTGATGACAGTAAATCAAGACTTAAAATGTAAAATAAAAATCTAACTACTATAAATCTAAATTTTTATGGTATGTTATTCTGCATTGTATCAATCTGCGTTTTGATACTTAATTATGCTTCTTTTTTTTTGCCTAAAATTGTAAAAGTGTAGAATTACAGAGAACTGAAATATCTGTATATTCATTGTATATTTTATAAGACATTACTTAGTCTAATATTGGCTCTGCTTTGGTTAAAAAAAAATAATGATAATGACTCTAGTGCATTAGAGGATCATATTGTAAAATAATTGGATTTCTAGTGCCAAAGGAGGCATTAATAATTATCTAGATAGTTCACGTCATTTTACAAACTGACATAAAACAAAACCAACACAGAATAAAATTCTTGCCCTCATGAAGCTTACATTTTAGTGAGTGATGTAGTCAGTAAATAAAAACACAAACATACACTAATATGGCTTGGTTTCATACTCTTCAATTTAGATCTTATATTAATTGAGTTACCTTTGGTAAATTAAATTTTTAACCTCATTCTCTCATTTATAAAATGGGAGTAGTGATATATCTAACTTTCAACATCCTATATGTGAGGAATGTTATTTTAAATATTTTGCTAATCTTCTTAGAGTTAAGCACATGGAAATCATAGAACCTTCTTCAAAATAGACCATATTTTAGGCTGCAAAGCAACTCTTATCAGATCATAATGGAAATAAATTAGAAATGAACTCCAAAAATCTATAGGAACTATGTAAAATGTGGATATTGAACAATACACTTAAAAATTTTTTTTAGTAGTTGTGTATGGATAGCATGCTTTTATTTTATTTGTTTATTCTTATGTGGTGGATGGAACCCAGTGCCTTACACATACTGGGCAATCACTCTGCCACTGAGCTCCAGCTCCAGCCCTGAATAATATACTTTTGAATGATGAATGAATGATAGAAGAAATTAAGAGAAAAATTTAAAAATTCTTGGACTTAAACAAGAATAGAGATATAATATACCAGAATCTCTGGGACACTGTGAAGGCAATTCTGAGACAAAAGTTTATAGCTACATAAGTATCTACATAAGAAAATCAATGGTGGGTGTGGGGCGGGGGGGGGGATGACTGGGGTTGTGGCTCAGTGGTAGAGCGCTCACCTTGCATGTGCGAGACCCTGGGTTCAATCCTCAACACCACATATAAATAAATAAATAGATAGATAGATAGACAAATAAATTTAGAAAGTTGTTGTGTCTAACTACAACCATAAAGAAATATTTAGAAAAAAGAAAGAAAATCAAAAAGATCCTAAATAAATAACTTAATAAATATCAAGTCCCTTTAAAAAGAAGAGCTGGGCATGATGGTAATCCCAGCTGCTCAGAAGGCTGAGGCAGGAAGATCAAAGCCAGCCTCAACAGTTATAAGGTGCTAAAGAACTCAGTGAGACCCTGGTCTCTAAATAAAATACAAAATAGGGCTGGGATGTGGCTCAGTGGTGTAGTACCACTGAGTTCAATTTGTGGTACCCGCCCCCCTCAAAAAAAGAACACACCAATTTTAAAACCAATAGAAGGAATGAAAATAATTAAGACCAGAGCCAATAGCAGTGAAACTAAGAAAAAAATACAAAGGATCCTGAATTAAAAGGAAGAATTGGTTCTTTGAAAAGATAAGATTAATAAGCCCTGGGCCAAACTAGCCAAAAAACAAAGAGAGAAGACCCAAATTAATAAAATTAGAGATGAAGAAGGATAATTCAGTTCAGACTTCACACAAATCCAGCAGATCATTAGGGACTATTTTGAACACTTATACTGTAATCAATTGGAAAATCTAGAAGAAATGGATACATTTCTAGGTACAGCTGACCTGCAAAAAATTGAATAAAAAGGACACAGAAAACCTAAAGTGAGCAATAACTAGCAATGAGGTAGAAACAATAATAAAAATCTTTCCAACAAAGAAAAGCCAGAAATGGGTAGATTCTCACCTGAATTCTACTGGATTTTTAAAGAGGAACTGATGACAATGCTCCTGAAATTATTCCATGAAATTGAAAGGTATGAAACACTTTCAAATTAATTCTACAAAGCCAGTATCACACTCATACCAAAACCAGATAAGGAAGGACACATCAAGGAAAGAAAACTACAGAACAGTGTCCCTGATGAACTTAGATACAAAAATCCTTATGAAATATTAGTAAATTGTATTCAAGAACATATTAAGAAGATTGTACATCATCACCAAGTTGATTTTATCTCAGGTATGCAAGGTTGGTTTAACATATGCAAATCAATAAATGTAATTCATCTTGTAAACAGAATTAAGGACAGAAATCATTTAGTCATTTGAATAGATGGAGAAAAAGAGTGCAACACAATTCATCAACAATTCATGATAAACACATTGAAGAAACTAAAGAATCTACCTCAACATCATAAAAGTTTATATTTGAAAAACCCAAAGCCAACCTCATAGTGGATATAGAAAAACTGAAACTATTTCTTTTAAAATCTGGAAAAAGCAAGGATGTTCATGTGTAGAAGAATGAAACTAGACTCTTATCTGTTACCTTGCACTAAAGTCAATTCAAAATGGATCAAAGGCCTACAAATAAGACCAGAAACTATGCGACTCCTAGAAAAAAATTGTAGGGTCAACATTGCCACATATAGACATAGGCAATCTCTTTCTTAGTAGGAACCCTGAAGTTCTGGAAATAATGCCAAGAGTTAATAAATAGGATGGCATCTAATTAAAAAGCTTCTGCATAACAAAGGAAATAAGAAAGTGAAGAGAGAGCCTACAGAATGGGAGAAAAATTTTGCTAGCTACTCTCTTTACAGAGGATTAATATCGATAACATATAAAGAAGTAAAAAACCTTAACAGCAACAAAACCAAGTAACCCAATTAATTAGTGGGCAAATGATTAAAACAGACATTTCTCAAAAAAAGAAATACAAATGGCCAACAAATATATGAAAAAAGCTTCCTTCATCGTTAGCTTTAGGAAAATATAAATCAAAACTATACTGAGATTTTTGTCTCAGTCTGGTCCAAATGGATTCCATGAAGAATACAAACAATAATAACTGCTAGGGAAGATGTGGAGAAAATAGAACCCTTGTACACTGTTGGTGGGATTGTAAATTAGTATAATAACTACTGAAATCAGTATTGAGGTTCTTCAGAAGGCTAAGAATGGAACCACCTTATGACCTGGCTATAGCACTTCTTAGTATTAATACTAAGGAATTAAAGTAACCAAACCATAGTGATACATGCATACCTATGTTTATAGCAGCACAATTCATAATAGTCAAATTAACATATGCAACAAATTAACATTAGCCAAAAAGAAAAAATGAGATTATGTCAATTGCAGGAAAATGGATAGAACTCAAAAACATTATGTTAAGCAAAATAATTGAAATTCTGAATGTCAAGGGTTGTACATTTTCTGTTGTATATGGAAGCTGTAGAGGAAAAAGGAAAAGAAAGGTTGGGGGGATATCATGGAAATTCAAAGGGAGGTAAGTAGAATAGAGAAAAGGGACTGGAGGTAAGAGGAGTAAAGGGAAAGGGAAAATACTTAGGAATGATAGTGGCCAAATTATATTGTTATGAATGTGCACATATGAATATGTAACGACAAATCCCACCATTATATACAATCCCACCATTAAGCACCAATGAAAAATTTGAAGGAAAACAAGTGTGTTTTGTTTTTGACATGAATACAAAATGTAAATCACCCTTTTTCTTAACTATTATAGTACTTAAAGCCTACATCATAGAATTTAAAAATTAGAGTTTTTGGTCTTTAGAATTATTTTCATTTTGATGTATTTTCCTAATAACATATTCTTTGAAAACAGCAATCTGTTGAACAAGATGCTTCTCATTGATTTGTTTACTATGTGATTTTTGTGATAACTGGCCTGATGAAGTCCTGATAATCCATGGACTTTATCTCCCCATTTGAGTTTAAATTTCTTGATCAATAATATCAATATTTTTCTATTAATTACCTAAATTTTACAAAGTTGATTTGATACATATTAGTGGTTCAATTGCGTAAGCTCAGTCAGATTTCAGTTGAAAACTACTAATTAATAACTACTTCACTTTAATACTCAGTTTCAGTGTCTGTGTTTTTTTCATGAGTTACTTTTGAGGAACTGTCAAACTGTTTGCCAAGCAACTGCATCATTTTACATTCCTATCAACAGTGTATAAAGGATTTTAGATTTTTCCACATCCTGAGCAATATTTGAAATTGTTCATCTTTTTGATGCTAGAGATTCTAGTGGTTACAAAGTGGTATTGTGTACTTCCCTAATGATTAACAATATTGAGCATCTATTTTTGTGCTTGTAAACTATTTATCTGTCCTCTTGGGAAATGTCTATTCAGATCTTTTGCTTTTTATAATTTGGTTATCTTTTTATTATATAGTTGTAAGAGCTTTCTTATATCCTAGATTCAAGTCTCTTGTTGGATATCTAATTTGCAAAATTTTTCTCACATTCTGAGTTGTTTTTAGTTTTCTAGATACTGCATTTAGAAGCACAATAGTTTTAACAATAGTTTTGTTGAATCCAGTGTTGCTTTTCCTTTTTTAAAAAATTTATTTTAGTTGTAGATGGACAGGATACTTTTATTTTATTTTTACATGGTGCTGAGGATCAAACCCAGTCCTCACATGTGCAAGGCAAGTGCTCTACCACTGAGCTGTAATCCCAACCCCCATGTTTCTTTTGTTGTTTGCACTCTTGGCTTCATGTTACAAACCATTATCTAATGTGGGATCATGAAGATTTTTACCTTTGCATTTAGGTCATTGGTTCATTTTTATTAATTTTGTGTTTTTCATTTTGTGTATTTCATTTTTTAATTTTGTGTGTGGCGTAAAGTAGAGATCCAATGTCTCTCTTGTATGTCCAGTTGTCTCAGTACCATTAATTCATTCCCAATTGGATAATTCTTTCTTTGTGGTGTTATCTTGACAGAAAACTATACAATGCTTAAAACCATAATTCCTTATTTGGCATGGTGTAAGACACAAGATTTTTTGTCCTTCCCCCGGAAAGTTTTCTCTTAACTATGCAGTAGAAACACTTCTGCAACTTGAACTTGACACTTGTGTTAAGTATTGTTTATATTCTTGGTATATTGTATCTGGAATGATAGGTAAACTAGGTATCTCACAATTATGCTTTTCCCCAATGTGGAAGTATTTTCCTCTTTGTAGTATTGATTTTAGCACCTCATTTTAAAAGCACCTAAAATCAGAGTTTGAAAAGTTTTTAATTTGCTTATTTATTTTGTTTCTAAATATTTTTCAAATATCAACAATTAATGAAAGTATTGTCACTGTTGTAGGGAAAAATGAAGTAAAAAATTAAAATAATTAGTTATGGCAGGGGCCAGGTCTTAATTTTTCTAATCAGTTTCTTAGAATATGATAAATGGATCTTCTCCAAATTAAACAAACTCAGAAATATCTTTTTATTTTGGCTATTCTATTAATGTCAGTTTTCATAGTCTACAAATAATGGAAAGAGTTTTCCATATTTATTGATTTTGGTTTCTCATTAGTGTTTAATTTTTTCATAATTTCAGCCTAGAGATGCTGGACAAAGTTGAGCCTCCAACTATACCAGAAGGTTATGCCATGTCTGTGGCATTCCACTGTTTGCTAGACCTTGTTCGGGGAATCACTAGTATGATTGAAGGAGAGTTAGGAGAGGTTGAAACAGAATATCAGTCTACCACAGAAGGGGCTTCTTCACCAATGCATTCATCAGAACAGCAAGATTTACAGTCAACATCAGACCAAATGGATAAGGAAATAGGTGTGTATTACCATTCTGTATTTTTAATTATTATTTTGAAATTTACAGAGAACTGGCAAAAGTAGTTGAGTTTCCTTGTCATTTACCCTTATTCCCCATTGTTAACACTTTACCATATTTACCTTACCATTCTATTTATGTACATGTCATTGTTTTTTCTGAACTATTTGAGAATAAGTTGTAGATATGATGCCTCATTGCCCCTTAATTACTTTGTGTGGATTTTCTAAAACTAAGTCTCCAACATACTATAGTACAACCACTATTAGAAATTAGGATCAATCCAATAATATCTAAACCCACAACTCATTCAGATTTTGTCAGTTACCCCTATAGTGTTCTTATGGTCCAGGTTTATCTGTTGAATTTAATTGCCATGTGTCTATGCTTTCCTTCAGTGTGGATCAAATTCCTTAGTTTTTCCTTGTTTTATATGACCTTGATACTTCTGAGGAACCAAGACAATTTGCTTTTGTCTTATGTTTCTTCACAATTATATTTAATTTATTCATTTGATGCAGAATTAGCATAGAAATGTTGCTGTGTTATATTTAGTGTGCCTGTGCATTAGAAAGCATACAGTGTCAATTTGTCTCATAATTGGAGATATTTACTTTTATCTATGACTAATATGTCAGCCAGATTTCCTTTGTGTAAAGTCACATATTTTTCTAATAAAATATATTATAAAAGTTCTTTCTTTTCTCCACCATTTGCTATTCTTAGAAATTTATACATTTATATTAATGTAGATTCATGGATTTTAATTTTATTTAGTGTAGATTCATGGATTTTGATTTTATTCAAAAGACTAAATCTATGACTATCATTATTTAGTTTCATGCTCAGACTGACCTGTTTGAAGCTAGCCCTTGTGTCTTTTTTTTTTTTTTTGCCAGGGGGTTTGGGGGAGGGGTACCAGGGTCTGAACCCAAGGACATTTATTCTCTGAACCACATCCCTAGCCCTTTTTATTTTGAGACAGGGTTTCACTAGATTGTTTACAGCTTCTTTAAATTGCTGAGGCTGGCTTTCAACCTGCAATGCCCCTGCCTCAGTCTCGTGAGCCACTGGGATTACAGGCATGTGCCACCATGCCCAGCCCTGTGTCCTCTTTAATACGTGTCTCAAGTCTTTTGACCTTATCTGGGTACTTCCTCACTGTTTAATAAAATAAGATGTTAAGTATTTCTTATCCAGCCCCAATGTCAGTCAGTTTTCCAAGAAGTCTTGGAGAATAGTATTGAAACTAACACATGGCACTAGGGATGCTTCTTGCTACTTGGATAGGAAATACACGCAAAACAACAACACATACCTCAATATTTCAAAAATGTCTGTCTTGCTCTATTAAATACTATGACATCATATTAATTTTTCTATTCCAGTTCAATACCACTGGGTTTATTTTTACCTTTCCATATTTGTAACTTCAGTCTCCCACTCTTGTTTGCTCAATGTATTTGCTTATTTGCATGATTTCCAATGTACGTAATCAGAATCCTGCCCAAGCCAGCTTATTATTATATAGCTCATCCTCATTCCCAGCTGGTCCTAGAGATTGAAAGTTTGGCTAATAGAGAAGATGTTAATATATTTTTTAATAAGGTATGAATCAGTTAACTCATGTATAGAAAGATCTTACAATAGATGTTTTCAAACAACTTAGTTTTAAGACTTTATAAAGTTTTAAGCCACTGTAGTATAGCTTTTAATTTTGTTTTTTGTTTGTTTGTTTGTTTATTTGTGGCACTGGGAATTGAACCCAGTGGCACTCTATCACTGAGCTATATCCCCAGCCCTTTTTATTTTTTTATTTTTATTTTGAGATAGTGTCTTACAAGGTTGCTTAGGCTGGCCTGGACCTTGTAATATTCTTGCTCAGCCTTTGGAGTAGCTAGGAGTCTTTATGTGTACAACCATGCCTGACCTAAAGTTTTATTTATTCGGGTATATTTTAAATACAAAAGATTCAGTATTCTAACAGTTGAGTTGATAAAATATTTGACTTATTGTCAATTAACATGGGAGATTTTAGAATTTGAATTGTCATTAAATATTATGACATCTATTATTGTCATTAAGTATTTTTTTTTTCCTTGAAGTTAGTAGAGCTGTTTGGGAAGAAATGGTGAATGCTTGCTGGTGTGGTCTTCTTGCTGCACTCTCACTCCTTCTTGATGCCAGGTATTAAGTCTTTGTAAGTTTTATATTAGATCATGAGAGTTAAACAAATATTAAAATGGTTTACTTGAATTTGAAGAATTTATTTTCTAATATTAGTGTTTTATATAGAAAGAACATTATAACTTATTTTTATTTTTTGACTTTAGAAACATCTTTATTCACATTTCCACCCAGAGAACATTACTTCCAACATTGGTTCGTTTCAAACTCAAAGAAATGTACATGTATGATGATGTGAGGGGAAAAAAAAGAAAAGAAAGAAAGGCATCACACTAGACTGGGCAGAGAGAGGCAATGGGAGGGGAGGGGCGGGGAAGGGGGGATAGGAAGGGCAGCAGAATAAAATAGACACTAGTATTGCTGTATGTATATACGTGTCTATATAACTAATGTGATTCTGCAACCTGCACACTTGGAAAAATGGGAAACCATACCCCACTTGACTCAAATGTATGATATGTCAAGATCATTGTATTGTCATGAGCAACTAATAAAAAAAAAGAATCTGTACTTCTACTAATGTCGACCAATTTTGAAAAATAATCCATCTGGAAAAACTGTATTAGCTGTGAAAATGACATTTCAATATTTGGAGTGCAGTTGGCTTAAGAGGAAGATTCCCTCTGTGGCCACATGTAGGCTGTGCATTTTTCTAACAGTTCAGCCTTTCAGAACTTCTGAAATCCATTTAGTCTGGAAATTACTAGGGTCTAGTTCAATCAAAAAATAAGCCTGGGTTGCTAAAGGGTATATAGAAAGAACATTATAACTTATTTTTAATTGTTCATATCTTTGGAATACAGTGCGATAAAATATATGTATACAATGTGCAAGTGATCCTTATCATTTCTTCAAGAACATTATTCTTTTACAGCCATTGCTCTTCCTCATCCTGTCCCTGCCCTGCCCTCTACCACAATTGTCACAGTGTCAGTGTTTTAATAGAAAATACAATCCCAAATTATAGAAAATCTATTCATTTTAAGACATACTACTATTTTTACAATGATCATTGTCATATTTAATTTATTTGATTTATTTTTCTTTAGGATTGCAGAATTTTTGCTGATTTTAAAATGCTCCATGTTTTAAGTTAAATCTTTTCAGTTCTTGATAATTTTCTTCCATAATAAATGTGTGCATTGTACGTTGTATTTACCCAGTTTAAATTTTCAGATATTATGTTAATTGGTTAAAATTCCTTCTTAAGTATATTGATTTTTGATATTTTGGGTAGATTTTCTTAAGACTTTACTGAATACCTAATTTCAAGTCATATTTTATAATTCAATTTAAAATAAGTTAATCAGTTAAATAAAATACCTTATCTTTTCAGCACAGATGAAGCTGCCACTGAGAATATCTTAAAAGCTGAACTGACTATGGCTGCTCTTTGTGGAAGACTGGGCCTTGTAACTTCAAGAGATGCCTTTATAACTGCAATATGCAAAGGTTCCTTGCCTCCGCATTATGCCCTTACTGTATTGAACACCACCACAGCAGCTACACTTTCCAGTAAATGTAAGACTTAAGCTTGTACAACGTTTCCTCCATCTTGTTGGGTGATATAGAGAAATGATTGTAGAAATTCTGAGTTCACATCTCTGCTGTTCCACTTACTAACTGTGTGATCTTGGGGAAGTGATTGTCCCTGAGCTTCAGTTTTTTTCCATCTCTTTAATACAGTGGGAGTGGGAGAGGATAATAATATCTTTTTAAAACACAATCATGCAAACAAAATAAAACTATAAGTCTGTTAAAAATTTAACATAATATTGAAATAGTGGTTGATATTTTGTATTAAATGGAACTAGTGGAATGGTTAATGTTTATAACTACTTAGGTTAAGCTCACCTTCAAAAATTCATTTACATTGAATACTTTAAGAGCATGTATAGTATACATTAATGTGATAGTAAAGTTTTCAAACTAAAAATATATTGCTCTCTGACTTTAACTATACAAGTATACTACAAATAGGTGTTTAAACTTAATTTGTTCTAATTCCATTTTGTTTATGAAGATAATAACCAGAGTTTTATAATTTTTTTACAATCGATACTGAAAACCACTTAATATTTGCTTAACTTGTCTTGGTTTTTATACCCCATGAGTTTTCATAATGTTAGCACACTCATAATAGATATTATTGGTGTTTAAATAAGTGTCATGGTAGAACTTTATTTAATCAAATTAATATTGTAAAATATTCTGTTACTCTTATTGCAATATAAAAAGCATTTTTTTTTTTTTTTTACTTATTTCGACTTTCCTTTGTATTCTAGCATATTCTATTCAAGGCCAAAGTGTTATGATGATAAGTCCATCAAGTGAGTCTCACCAGCAGGTTGTGGCAGTGGGTCAACCTCTAGCAGTCCAGCCTCAAGGGACAGTAATGGTAATATATTTGTTTTTGTTGGTTACCAATTAATTATCAAGGAAACATGTTTTACCCCTTTTGCATTTGCCAAAATTTATTACTGTAGTTATTACTTTCTTTTACCTGGAGAGTATTTTTAGGAGAAACTGGTTAACTATTCAGTCACATTGTAATGAACATGACAACTTTTAGTCAGATTAATTTGTGTTTTGTAAAACTATTCAAACCTGTTTTCTTAATATTTCTGTGTTTTACTTTTAAAAAGTCTTTGAATGCATTAATGCTGCTTTATAAACTTACACTTTTTAGGAATGCTTAACAGATCTTGCAGATATATCCTTTTTCAATATAGCTAACTTCCAAAAATATCCAGTGTATGAGAACTCTGCTTAACTTGGCACACTGTCATGGAGCTGTTCTTGGAACATCATGGCAACTTGTCTTGGCAACTCTTCAGGTATGTTCAAGTACTTGGGTCAGAGGTTAGCATATTATTACTTATAATTGCTAACAGTTAAACTAAGCATTATCTATTGGTGCTTCACGCAGACCTATGACAGAGTAAGCATGTAAAATGAGAAGTTACAAAGGAATAAATGACATAGCTCATATCATAGAATGTGGTAGAGTGCTTCTCATAATGGCCTAAGTTCTACTGCTTACACTTGGTGTAATTATTTTATAAGAATATTAATTATTGATTTTAATTTTATTTACTAGTAGTTACTACTGCCTTTAATTCTAATTATTAGAATTTTTATAGTTTTATAAGTGTATTTGCTTTGTTTTAATTTTTCAGCATCTTGTATGGATTCTGGGATTAAAGCCTAGTAGTGGTGGTGCCTTGAAACCTGGAAGAGCTGTAGAAGGACCTAGTACAGTAAGTTCTAGTCCTTCTTATCTAATTAGTGCTTCCAAAAATGTCATGTTATATTTAATTTAATATGCTTCTCTTAGGTTCTAACAACTGCAGTGATGACAGATTTACCAGTGATTTCCAATATACTTTCAAGATTGTTTGAAAGCTCGCAGTAAGAGTCAATTTTACATTTGATAGAAAAATATTTTACTAGCTATATATTTTAGATCAAAATATCTTATTTCTTCATTTTTATTTTAGGTATCTTGATGATGTATCATTACATCATTTAATAAATGCACTCTGTTCCTTATCTCTAGAAGCAATGGATATGGCCTATGGAAATAATAAGGTCTGATAATCTATCTTTCTATTCTAAATATAGTATTGCATTTACTCATATAAGATGTTATGATCTCAGTGTTTTGCTAGTAGGACCAATACTTAGTTTGTTAACAATAGACTGATTGATAGGTTTTTACCATTTTGGGTTATTATTTGTAGAAGGGGGAGTAAAGAAGACATGATTTGTGTTACTATTTATATGTCTAAATATGTTATATGACTTAAATTGTGCCCATTTTTCTTGTGCAGTGATTTTCTTTTTTCTTTCTTTTCTTCCTGTACCAGGGATTAAGCCCAGGGGTGCTTAACCACTGAGGCAAATCTCTATCCCTTTTTTATTTAGAGATAGGGTCTTTTATTTAGAGAGAGAGTTCCTTAGTGCCTCATTAAGTTGCTCAGGCTGGCTTTGAACTCACAGCCCTCCTGCCTTAGCTTCCTGAGCGGCTGGGATTACAGGAGTGTGTTAACTGCACCTGGCTCAAGTAGTGAATATTTCTAAAAACTATTTTTATAAAGAATAATGCATCATAATTTTTATGAATAGATTTCCTAAAATGTCACAGTAATGCTTGTGATTAAAATTTTTGATCAGAATATTACAGTATTTAAATTAAGGAATACATGTCTTCATTTCTCATGCCTTCATTGGGATCTAAAGGTAGTGACTCTCCTAACTTTGAAATTAAACTTTGTGTTTACTGATTAAATTAATAGAACAGTACTTTTGAATATTGACATTCAGAAACATTTCTTTATATTTAAATTTTCATTTTGTTATACTTGGAAAGCACAGGAAAATTTGGGCTTATTTATATCTTAGTAATATTTCAAATAAACTGTTTTCAGGCTGGGGATATATCTCAGTGGTAGAATGCTTGCCTGGTATGTGTGAGGTTCTGGGTTTGACCCCCAGAACCACACAAAAATAAAGTCCTTTCTATATTTTGAAATTAATGAATATAGTTTCACCATTTACAAATAGCATGAAGAAAACCCAGTAATTTATTTAACATATCTATATGTATGGTCCAAAAATATGTTGTCTCCTTAATCCTTAATTCTGTGTACTGTGGCTTGTTATCTTTGCTCATGTGACTCACTCTCTAAGAAGAAATTCTCATTAAAGCATAGGTTTATTTATTATAGCATATAGCTAGATAATTACATAAACATTTAGGTGTTTGGAAACATGTATTAAAATTTGCTCCAAATTCAGGCAAGGATACAAGTATAGTAAACTAATCAATTTATTGATATGTGAGTAATCCTCCACCTTTGAGATTCTTAACACAAAACTATAATATTTTGAAGAGTGCCGTAAAGAAAAACATGCAAACTTATAATTTCTTGGGAATTTATGTGTTCATGTAACAAACACTCTGCTGGATGATATAAAAGAAATGACACTCTGCTGGAAGATATAAAAGAAATAGGTTTCTACTTTTAAATAAGATATAAACTGCTTCACTCTAGTTAAATCACAGTTAATTTGGTGTGAGAGTCTAAGCAAATAGTATAGATATTGCTGGGCTTTGTGGCACATGCCTGCAATCCCAGTAGTTTGATAGGCTCAGGCAGGAGGATCACAGGTTCAAGACCAGCCTCACAAGGCTCTGAGCAACTTAGCGAGACCCTGTCTCAAAAATAAAAAAGGGCTGGGGATATGGTTCAGTGGTTCAGTGCTCCTGGGTTTAATCTCTGGTAATCCCTGCCCCCACCACCCTCCTGTCCCCCCCAAAATATATAGTGTAGATATTATTTGATGAAACTTATTTTAGGAATTCTTAATTCTTTATTACATGAGATACTTATATATCTATTAAAATGAGTTAAGTTAGCCAAAATAAACTAGTGTGATTGGAACTAGATAGTAAAGGAATGGTAGGATTTAGATTTAAAAAGGCAAACCAGGCGTGGTATCGCACACCTGTAATCCCAGTGTCTTGGGAGGCTAAAGCAGGAGGATCTCAAGTTCAAAGCCAGCCTGAGCAATTTAGCAAGGACCTAGCAACTCAGTGAGACCCTGTCTCTAAATAAAATACAACAAAAGGGCTCAGTGGTTAAGTGCCCCTGAGTTCAATCCCCAGTACCCCACCCCACCAAAAAAAAAACAAAAAAAAAAAACAGATTATAAAAGGCAAATTCATGGAGATCAAAAGATAAAAATTTTACAAGAAATCATAATCAATGAGAGAAAAACAGGAGCTTTGGTGTTTAATAATTGTTGTTATCCTTGAAGAATACAATTTCAAGAGGGGCAGATGTGACTTTTAAGGAAGACTTAGAGGGAACAAATGTTGAAAACATGAATATACTGAGTAGTACTGAGATAATTTCTTATAAGAGTGGATTCACATCTCTCCATTTTAGGATTCAGTTTTATAAAGTGAAATGACAAATATGAAATGAAAATGAAAGCTTTATAAAAATATTCAAGTAATCTGCAAGGCCCTGGGTTCAATTCCCTAGCACAAAAAAGGGGGGGAAATTGAAGTATATATTATATTATAAATGTATTAAATACAGACTTTATAAAAACATTTTTAGATGGAGGTTATTAAAAGTTCATTAGTCAGTTGTGACTTCTATAAAAAGTATTATAAGTGTGATAAATATGCAGATATCAATATAAGTTAATTTTCTACATTGTTAAGAAAATAGATTTAACAATGTCATCTGTTTTGAGTGAGTTAAATGTAGGGATTTCTATTGTAGAGATTACTTTAAAGTGACCAACATCTTGGTTTTGGTCTTCATTTCAGGAATTTGCACTAATGTGTTATGGATGTAATTTATTGTAAGGTTTGTAAATTCTTTCTTAGAAGGTGAGGCTAATAAGTATGAAGCAAAGCATATTACCCAGCTCAGTGTAACAATAGAAGTATTAAAGTAGCTATTTTTCATTGAGTGTTTTCTGTATGCTCACCACTGACTTAATTCATTTAATCACTTTAAACAATTTTATGAGCTTCAGTGTTAGCCTTCTCTTCTTACAAATGAAAACATGAAAATAGAGAGCTTAAGTAACTTGCCTGAGATCATTTATTTAGTAAACAGTAGAGTTTGGATTTGAATTTATCTATTTCTCAACCCAAAGCTTTACTCTTGCTAGTGACTCTTAACTTTGGGTGTTTTCAAAGTCACCTATGGCATTTTTAAAAAGTAAAAATGCCAACTACATTCTAGGGTTCTTGAGTAAACTTGTTTAGGTGTGAATCCTAGGCATCTTTGTGTTCTTTTAAATGCTATACAGGATTCCTGTGTATATTCTGGCTAAAATAAGGAGAAAGGGGAAGAAGTAATACTAGACATCATTTGAGAGGGATTTCTTATGTGTCGTGTACTTTGTGATATGAGGTAGTTTCTATACTATTATTATCTCCATGTTACTGATTAAAAAGTTCAGTAGAGATAGCAATTTACCTAAGGTTACATAGCTGTCAAGTGGCAGAATCAAGATGAAATCCCAGACAGTTAAAACTTCATAGATGTCAGTCACAACCACAATACCATATTTTCTCTAGAATCATTAATTTTTCTGCCATCAAAATTTGTATACACCTCCACATTAGCACAGGCAGGAAGGGTCTTAAAACCTTAATGTACTTAATTCACTGATTTCTACTAAGAAAGATACTATTAAGCATTTCCGTATTGGATATTGTCAGTACTATAAAAATGTTAGAAATATATAATAAAAAAATCTTTAAATTTGTAGATGTTTAAATGAAGTACTCTTATTGTTAGCCATTCTCTAGGTTAAGTATAACTTTTGGACTTTCCCCTTTCCCTGTAAAAGCGGTTTCAATCAAATAATCTAATTAGGATCTATTCTGAATAGTTAAGACTATCTTGACAGAAAGGCTTGTTTTGTGACAATAGGTTTTGTTATATTTATTAAGTAACTTTATATATGCTAATTAATGATACTCATGCTCTTTAGAGTATTCTGTTTTTATTTACAGTTCATGTACTCAGAATTCTCCTTATAATATTAAAATGCAATATGTTTTCTCCCTAGGAACCATCTCTGTTTGCTGTTGCCAAATTGTTAGAAACTGGTCTAGTTAACATGCACCGAATAGAAATTTTATGGAGACCTCTCACTGGTCATCTACTTGAGGTAAACTCTTTCTTAAATATTATATTTTATTTTTTTATTAATAAAGACATCCACATTGAGCCAGTAGTTCCAGATAACCAAAGTATTAACTTTCCTTGCCCCTTTCCTGTGCATTTACATCTGTGTATTTTATCAAGGACTAATGTTGTGTAGTGATTGGTTTGGTGAGGGAGTAGATTGCTTTTATTGGCTGAAAATGGGTGAAATTTTTAAATTGATAAATATCAGAGAAATCAGCCGTCAGCTTATTATACAGTCTCATGATCCATTAGGCCAGTTGGAGCTGAGAGTTAGTAGTAAACACTGTTCATTTACAGATTTTTGCTACAATTATGAGATAACCTATTAGGGGAAAATCTATTTGGTATTTTTAACCATAGATAGTGCCAGGGGATTTTATCGAATTTACATTATCTTGCATTCAGTTTGAGGGTACTCTTAATAATTAGTTGCTGCTTAATAGCCAGCTTCTTGTGTTAGTACATGTGTCTATATACAATTCAGGTTTGTGTTATTGAGGTCATTTGATATTATTTTAGAAACCTGAGAAAGTTATTATTAGAAAAACTGACATACAGAAGGTTTTCTCTTTATTTTTTCAGAATTATTTTTAAGAATAAGTAAAGGATATGAGCTGATTTCTTCATGATTGGATCATCTCATCAAATGGGAACAGATAAAATTTTTAAAATGTATCACAGTCTTTGATTGTGAACTTAATTAAGAACTTAGCATTGGGATTAGAGATGTAGTTCAGTATTAGAGAACTTGCAGGGACCTGGGTATAATCTCCAGCACTGAAAAGAAAAAAAGAAAGAAAACCTTAGTATTTCAGCTTGCCGCTTTTGTTCGCTCATGATGATGTGTCCTTTACTATTATGAAATCCTTTCTTTTCTGTGACTTGTTTTAGTTTCAGCTTTTTTCTTTTGTCTTCTCTTTGTTGCTTCCTCTTGCCCTCATTCAGAAGGTAAGCTTACTGACATTTTTGATGTAAGTTTTCTTCCAATCCTTACTTGATGTAATTTTTAAAAGGTGGAAAGAAAATGTAATATTTTAATTTTTCTTTGCTCAACTGATTCATAGTTATGTACACAAATTAAATATTTGATTTTTCAACATATGTACCTTCAGGTCTGCCAGCATCCAAACTCTCGAATGAGAGAATGGGGAGCAGAAGCTTTAACTTCACTTATTAAAGCAGGATTAACATTTAACCATGAGCCTCCACTTTCACAGAACCAGGTAAAAAAGAATACTTAATATGAAATTATCCTTTTCTATATGTAGTTTTTCAAGTAGATAATATTCTAATAGAGGGTTTTTAGAAATGTTTTATTTTATATTTAGGCTATTGATGTCTTATTAAAGGTAAGAGATTCTTGGTCTTCATGAAAAAATTTTAAACACTTCATGAATGACACTGAATTAAGTTAATAAATTACATAGATTGGTCTTCTAGTTTACAGGTTTTACTCTTCATGAAGTGCTAAGGCTTCATTTTAGAGCTTTGACCTTTTTGGTCCTTACATCTCTGACTTTTTCCTTTTGCTATACTATATGGAGAGAAAACAAATGGCAGAAGAAATATGCACAATAAAATAGATTTTCATTTTTAAAATTTTAAGTTATTTTTTACTTTTAGAGTATATTTAAAATATTCATCATTTTGATACTCTTTATCATTCACATATATCTTACACAGTTGTTTCAGTCAGCTTTTTTGCTGCTGTGACTAAAGGCCTGACCAGCACAATTGTAGAGGAGGAAAGGTTATTCAGGGGCTCACAGTTTCAGAGGTCTCCATACATAGACAGCAGGCTCCATTTCTTGGGGCTTGAGGTGAAGCTGAACATCATGGCAGAGTGTGTGGTAAAGGGGAGCAGTTCACATGGTGATCAGGAAACAGAGAAAGAGGTCTCCTATTGTCATATACAAATATATACCCCAAAGCCATATCCCCAATGAAGCACTTCCTCCAGCAACATCCCACCTGCCTCCAGTTTCCACCCGGTTAATCCCATCAGGGATTAATTAACTGATTAAATTGACGTACAACCCAATCACTTCTCCTTCAAACCTTCTTGCGTTGTCTCACACATGAGCTTTTGGGGGATACCACGTCTGAACCATAGCAACAGTTTTTAAAAGTCCACCAAAGTTTTACTGCTTCAGGACTGAGTAGGAATGAAGCATTTAATAAATATTCTCATTGCCCCCACATCTATTGTATTCCAGTTCTACAAATTTACTCAACATGTAATTATTCAGCGTAGCTCTTGGAACAGAGTAGTCAACAAGACAGAAAAGATACATATTCTTTTACATCTTACATGTTAGCGATTTTATATATTTTTCTACATTTTGAATTTTTTTAAAAAAATAGTTGTGTAACTACTCCAGTATTTTCAATGTTCACCTTAATACTTGATGTATAGTTAGAGCTTAATAAATTATTTGTTCAGTCAGTAACCAAATAAAGAACTCTTAAAGAAAAGAAAAACATGAAAAAAAAAAAATGAAGCAAGTGCTTTCAGATACTGAAGAGGATAGAGTCAAGTGTTCTTGTTTACTCTGCAACAAATTTCATGGTTTTATGTCATCTTTGTTAGAATTTGCCATACTTATTCATTTTCTAAACATTTTATTCCTTTTATTCCATCACACTTAGGAATTTTAAATTTGAATACATGTAGTAGTATAATAATAAAGAATATTAAAGGTGATTTTAGTAATTGGTAATTGTTTTCTACTCTTCAAATACTGCTAGAGATATATGTTCTTTAATGAAATTGATTTTTATATGGTTCTATATTTATTATCTTTCAAAGTAAGATACCTACCCTTTTATCTTGAAATATAACATCTTAAAAACTTGGCTTTTTTTCCTCATTAAAAATATAAATGACAAATCTCTAATGAATACTGTTAGAGAAGTCATATTCAATGTTTATTTTAGTAGAAAAAAATTCTGCTTACCTTGGTAGTCTAGAGTGATGGTGAATTTAACAAGCAGTGAAAGCAACAAGCTGGGTGCTGTGGTGCATGCCTATATAGATCCAACACTCAGGAGGCTAAGGTGGAAGTATCAATTGATCCCAGAAGTTCAAGACCAGCCTGGGCAACAAGTCAGATGTTGTCTTAAAAGAAAAGAAAAAATAAATAAAGATAAGAAAAAGGGAACAACAAAGAATTCCTCTCTTTTTAAATTTCTCTTCCTAAAGAGTTTCTTGTCTGCTTTTCAGAGACTGCAATTGCTTTTATTGAATCCATTAAAGGAGATGTCCAATATTAACCATCCAGATATACGACTGAAGCAATTAGAATGTGTGTTGCAGATTCTGCAGAGTCAGGGAGACAGTCTAGGACCTGGTTGGCCATTGGTTCTTGGAGTCATGGGAGCAATCAGAAATGATCAAGGGTAAGTTTTTGAAATTAATATCCCCAAAATAATACAAGTAGAAGGGGAATCCATCCTAAAAATCATGCAGTATAGTAATTTTTTATGCATGTCCTTTCTGTATAAATCCAAGACCCATAATAGTTTTTCTTAAACTACCCCCAAGTGGCTATAGGGAATTTTTAGGTATTATTACCATTGTTTTAAAAGGATGGGAATATTGCTGTTTGACCTTTATATTAGAATACAAGGTTCTTATTTACAATAAGATAAACAAACCAATTTAAAAATTTTTATAATACACCCAAAGATTAGACTTTTTATAAGATTTGGATTTGTTAAAACAAATATTTGATAAGATACAAAATAACCTTTAGGAGTGTGACTTCACTGTGTGTATGAGGAAATCTAAGAAATTGCTTTCAAATAACTTGCATTTATTTATTAAACACTTATTCTGTGTATTTCAGATATTGTGCTTACTAGTTATTCTGAGTATACAGATAAATAGCTCCTGCTTTAAAATAGAATCCAAGGAAGTAAGTAATTTGTTATGCCATGAAATTATTAAGGCTCTAGGTGGAAGGGGACAAAGCAAAAATTATAAAAAGATGCAGATGTCATAGATACCACCATGACAGCAGCAAGAGGTTAAGGTGGGAAACAAGAAAGTCTACAAATGCTCTCTAAGAATAAGAGGAGATGGATTTGAGTTAACCAATTAACTCTAGGTATATGGAGGCATGAAAATCAGGCATGATTCTCAAATTTCTGACTTAGGCAATTAGTTTAGTGGATGATGGTATCATTAACTATATAGGGAATACAGAAAGAAGAGCAAATTTGAAGTCGATGTATGATCTTATTTAATTTAGGATTTAATTTAGGGTAGAACTCCAGTGGAGAGATTTAGCAGACACTGGATAGATATATTTGTATATAATTCTGCAATAGGACTCATAGTATCTTATTTTATAATAAGTATAGGAGTTTTAGCTGATTGAGATACTTGAAAATATTAAGAAAAACTAAATGTTCTTAAACGTTCATAGTAGTAAATTTTCTTTTTTTTTAAATATTTATTTTTTTGGTTAGACACGATACCTTAATTTTGTTGATTTATTTTTATGTGATGTTGAGGATCGAACACAGGGCCTTGCACATGCTAAGCGAGTGCTCTACCACTGAACCATAACCCCAGCCCAGTAAATTTTCTTAAATGCTATAAAATATTGAGGTAATTAGGCATAATGGTGCACACCTGTAACCCCAGCAACTAGGAAGACTGAGGCAGAGGGTAATAGGTTCCAGACCAGCCTGTACAACTAAGTGAGACCCTATCAAAATAAAAAATAAAAAGGGCTGGGGATGCAGTTCAGTGTTAGTGTGCTTCTGGGCTTAATCCCAAGTACTACACCTCCCTCCCCCCAAATAAAAGAGGCAAAGGGAGATCAGCTTAGATCAAGTTGAAGTTATTTTTCTCAGTGTATATAATAGGACATTATAAAAGTGAAATGAATTAATATGTGGAAAATGTTTAAAAAGTACATGACATACTAATAAAAGGTAGTTATTATAACCATCCTTTTCATTATTTACCATCAGAATTTTTCTTCAAAACCAAATTCTTTTTATTTTTTTATTTGAAATTCAAAATTCACTCTTCTTACAGTTTACATTCATAGAATGTTATATTCCTTTGAAGATTTAAAGAAGATAATTGAATATTTATAAATTTGCTCATTTATTGAGCAAATTATGGTTATTAACATGTGCACGGCATTGTGTAAGATATTGGGGATACAATGGAGAGAAAAGTAGCTATGTCAATTTACCATTCTTATTCATTGTCCAAATTTTCTTTTGGTTACTTGATGTAAAGTACAAATAGAAATAATACATTGCTAATACTCATTTTCATATCCTTTTTCTTAATCTGCTAATTTTATTTCTTACTATCTCTGAGGTTCTTTATTATTAGTTGTATATTTTAAAGAAAGTATATCATTTTTACACTTATAAATATTGAAGTACTATATGATCTATATTAGGGAGGGTTTTCTTGTTAAAATTGTAAAATAAAATTTTGCTTGTTCAAATTATTGTAAGGTATATGCTTTTACACATTTCTTTTAAATGCATCAATATACATTTCTTTTGTGTTTTCAGAGAATCCTTGATACGAACTGCATTCCAGTGTCTTCAATTAGTTGTGACAGATTTTCTACCAACAATGCCTTGTACTTGCTTACAGATAGTTGTAGATGTTGCAGGTAGCTTTGGACTTCATAACCAAGAATTAAATATTAGTTTAACTTCAATAGGTTTATTGGTAAGTATCATTGCCTTTCTTACGATAGTATAACTTAGAAATTACTATTATACAGTTGGAAGTGAATGCCAAACAAGTATGGTTTTAGCTCTAAGAAAATTATTTGAATGACTGGAATATCAAATATATCTTCCATGAAGAATTAAATAACATAAGAAATAATTCATAATAGCAGAATATTTGGAGAACTTTTGATATATTGAAGATTGACTTTTATAAGGTTTGTTGTGAGATGATGTAGTAAACAAATTATATATACATAAGGAAAACCATTAGTTAATTTTAATGTGAAAGTTTACTGATTTTAAATATACTTTAATAACATTTTCTTGGACTATTCATTTGTAAGTAAAGCTTCAATAGAATTCTGTACCATTTACATAGTCCTGTCTAGGAGACAAGAAATCATATGAGAAGACCCTGGGCTCTGGGGGATATATATAAAATATGAATTATATTTGACTCTTATTCTTGAGTTATAGACCTCTGAGCCTCATTTTACACATTTTGAAAAAAGAAATAACAAAATCTAAGTTAGGATATTGTCAACATTATATGAAGTCAACATGAAAGGAGCTATATATTTAAGACAATTGTTTAGAGTTTTAAAAATACATATTATAATGCAAACGGTTTATAAAGTTGAACTTAAATTTCCCTCACAAGCCAGGCAAGGTGGCACATGCTGTAATCCCAGTGGCTCAAGAGGCTAAGACAGGAGGATAGTGAGTTCAAAGCCCTCAGCAACTTAGTGAAGCCCTGTCTCAAAATTGAAAATAAAAAACAGGTTGGGGATGTGGCTCAGTGGCTGGGCATTCCTGAGTTCAGTCCCTGGTACCTCAAATAAATAGATAAATAAATAATTCCCTCACAAGCTAGATAAGTTAGTAGTTTACTCTTAAAAATATAATTATGTGGGGCTGGGATTATGGCTCAGCGGTAGAATGTTTGCCTAGCATGTGTGAAGTGCTGGGTTCCGTCTTCAGCACCACATAAAAATAAATAAAATAAAAGTATTGTGTCCAACTACAACTAAAAAAATATTAAAAATATAATTATGTAAAAAAAAAAGCATGTTATATATAAAATTGCTTCCCACAAGTGGTTGGTTAGTTCATTGTTATTTACTGCAGGTGTCACGTCTTTTATTTTACATTTATGTTTACAGTATTGGATCCCCTACATTTTTATCAATGGCATAAATTATCATTAATTCTCTTATTATATTTTGGTTGAGAATAAAGTTATAGGCATGCTTGAAGATAGTAATTGTTCTTTTTTTGTATGTAAAATTATAAATAAAAACTGGGCATGGTGTCATATACTTATAATCCCAACTACTTGGGAGGCTGAAGAAGGATTGCAAGTTTGAAGCCAGCGTCTGCAATTTAGGGAGACCTGTCCCAACAAACCAAAAAGGTTTAGGGATGTAGTTCATTGGTAGAGTACCACTGGGTTCAATCCCCAGTACTGCAAGTAAAGGAAGAGAGAGAGGAAGGAAGGAAGGAAGGAAGGAAGGAAGGAAGGAAGGGAGGGAGGGAGGGAGGGAGGGAGGGAGGGAGGGAAGGAAGACTATACAGTTATTGTGTAATGATATTAAGGCATTGTTAGTAATTTAACTATGATAGTAATGGTATTATTGGTTATGTTTTAGCAATTGTTTTATCAAGGTGTATATTAATACATTGAAGTACCTTATATTCTCCTTGTTTTCTGCATGTACTTTAACTTTTTCACAATAAAACGTTTAAAAAAAAAAAGGTCAGGGGAGCAGGATAGTGCTAGAGAAGATGGATTGTTCTCCTGGAATCCGAAACATGATAGAGGAAGTAAAGATGTTTCCATTGAATTTATTCTATGAGAAAGGAGATTTATGAAGTAATTTTTTAAATGTTTTACTATGAAAAGTGAAACAACCACATTACTTATTAACTTATGTGTTTAAAACAAAATCTGTGAATAAAGTGATATTTTTCTGCTTTTTTCCTTAGTGGAATATTTCAGATTATTTTTTCCAAAGAGGAGAAATTATTGAAAAAGAATTAAATAAAGAAGAGGCAGCACAGCAAAAGCAGGCAGAAGAGAAAGGAGTGATTTTAAATCGGCCATTCCACCCTGCGCCACCATTTGATTGCTTATGGTTATGTCTTTATGCAAAATTGGGTGAATTGTGTGTGGACCCCCGTCCTGCTGTCAGAAAGAGTGCAGGGCAGACTCTGTTTTCTACAATTGGTGCACATGGAACTTTATTACAGCATTCAACCTGGCACACCGTTATTTGGAAGGTACTATAAAGTAGCTTGGGCTTTCAGCTTTTAGTTGAGACATGCTTTTATAGTGTATTTGTTTTTTTCAGTTAAACTTGTTTCTTTTTATTTTTTAAAGAGTTTCCATGCATTTGTATATTTGACAAGACAAAAAAAAATGTCGTATTTTAAAATTATACCTCCCACAGAAAAAGTTAAATATTAAAAGTTCCATTTCTGTTGTTCATCTCTTATTTTTTGTCTCATGTTCTATCTGTGCTTTTCTTTTTTTTCACTCCTTTGTTTTCCAAAAGGTAAAACAAGGATTTGTGAAACCAACAATACCTTATAATAGAGTTGAAACCTTATAATAGACCCCAAAATATTTTCTTAAAAATTAATAATATATTTTCTCTAGTTAAAAAGAATTAAAACCATCTTTCCATCCTTATTGTTTAAATTTTTATTTATTAAAAATAATTAAAAATTAAAGTTAAAAATAATTTAACTGAAAAGTAAAAATTTTATGTTAATGGTAAAAGCCCTGTTTGCTTCTGTCTTCTGTTTCACCTCTGTCTCTTGGCTCCTCCTCAGATCCCAAACATGCTTAAGTCCCTCTTTTCTTTTTTTAACCTTAGTTTTATTTATTTATTTTTCTGTGGTACTGAGGATCAAATCCAGTGCCTCACACATGCTAGGGAAGTGTTCTACCACTAAACTACAACCTTAGCCCAAAGTCCCTCTTTTTTTTTTAATGAACATTTTTTCTAATTCTTGTTTTGCTTTTAAATAGCTTCTGCTTCTTTTTTTCCTCCCCAGATACATTCTACCTCTCTGAGTGCTATTCCCAGCCCTTTTTAGGTTTTGTTTTCAGGGAGTTTTACTAAATTATCCATGCTGGTCTCAAACTTGTAAACCTTCCGCCTCATCCTCCCAATCAGATAGTCCCAGCTAAGTAGCTTCATTTTTAATATTTTTGTTGCCTAAGTTGCAATGATTTTTTTCTTCCTCACTTCCCCATTCCCTTGTTCCTTGTAATTTGATTTCCAAATTATTCTACTTCAGGGTAAGGTCTCTTAAACATTAGAGTGCGATAGAGTCATTTAGCGGATTTGTTTAAGGTTTCTAGCTCCACCCTAGAATTGACCTCCATTATTTCAGACTTTTTGGCCTGGAGTGGAAAATTCAGGAAAATTCACATTTCAGTTAAGCTTCTGGGTGACGCTGATGCTGCTGGTTCCAAAACCATACTTTGAGAACCACAGAAATCATTCATAGACTATAGATGGTCTTCTGTTTCCCAAGTCCTTTGGCCTATACCCAGTGCTAGTCCTATTTATTTTTTGTTAGCATTTAATGTTATTATCTTCTTGAAATTTTCTTTTTTTATCTTTTGTTTCACAGCATGTATATATTTCTCTATTTATTTTTAATTTTGTTTTTCATTGTGCTTATTCCTAAGTGCAAATATTCCCCAAATTATAATTAATTCTTGCTTGTTGATTTCTTTCTTTCTTTTTTTTCTTTCTAGCACCCTTAGCTAGTCCTAGAGCTTCAGTTGTAATCTCAATTTGGATATCTTCCATAAATATATTTTTTGCCTGGAACCCTCTCCTTAACCTTTGTTGTTTTTGTTGTTGTTGTTGTTTTAACATTATCTCCATGGATGTCCCATTGATAACAAGTCTTACATGATGTTCTGTTTAGTTTATTTTAATGTTTTATATTTCATGACCTTAAATATGACTTGAAAATACATGGTTACTTTAATTGGTCAGTTTCATCTAATATGGGGATTAATAAGACTGTCAGAGGGCTGGGGATATAGCTCAGTTGGTACAGTGCTTGCCTCGCATACAGGAGGCTCTGGGTTCACCCCCCAATACCACCAAAAAAAAAAAAAAAAAAAGAATAAGACTGTAAGGTATAAATATTTTTTATACAGCTTCTGGTTTTCTACACTGTTACTTAAGTATCAATATTTTTGTATGACATTTTTATAAATATTTAGGTTCTCTTTCATCTACTGGACCGAGTTCGAGAGTCTTCTACAACTGCAGACAAAGAAAAGATTGAATCTGGAGGTGGCAATATTCTCATTCATCATTCAAGAGATACAGCAGAGAAGCAGTGGGCTGAGACATGGGTATTAACATTGGCTGGAGTAGCAAGAATTTTCAATACCAGAAGATATTTACTGCAACCATTAGGTGTATATATATATTTTTTTATTTTCTTTTCTGGTTATACTAGTAATTTATATTAAAGGCAATTTGGAATATATAGAAGATTCTTTTAGAACTCATAGATACTACCACCCAAGCACAATCAATCTTAATTTGCGGTCTTTGTGTTTATGTGTGTACACATGCACATTTTCATTCATTTCATTGAGAAAAAAAATTTTTTTCTTGGTTCTGGGAATTAAACCCAAGGATACTCTACCACTGGGCTACATCCCAAGCCTTTTACCTTTTATATTTGACACAGGGTTTCATTAAGTTACCATGGCTAACTTCAAATTTATGATCCTCCTACCTCAGCCTCTTGAGTCTCTGGGATTATAGGCAGGTGCTACTGAGCCTGGCCAAGAAAATATTTAATATGTATCTACCAGGGGCTAGTCTTTAGAAATATAATGATGAGCAAAATACACACTGTCCTTGCTGTCCTGGGAATGAGGGAGGCACCATAACTATATCAGGCAATGCAAAAATCACTATAATAATAGATGCTACCAAGGAATGTTGTGCATTATGAACTTAGAATAGGTATTTGACTTAGCCAGTGAGATTTAGATAGATTTCCCTGAAAAAGCACTATATTACCCGAGATCTGAAGGTTAAATAGGAGTTAATGAGACATGAAGTGAAGAGAGGCTTATAGGAAGAGAAAAATTGAGGAGAGAGAATGGTGATGACCCTATCATGTTTGAAGGTTTGGAATGAAGAGAGAGAAAAGTGTGATTCCCAATGGGGTTATAGAGGTAGGGAGAGGCTAGACTGTGTAAAATGTGCTCAGAAGTTAGGACTAAATCCTAAAAACAAGGAAAAAATCCACTGCAAGGTTTTAATCGATGAGCAGATATGTAGTGACATGCACATATGCGTAGTTCAGAAAAGACTACCTTGAATAATGTGTATAGAATGAAATGGAGCAAAGAAGGATGATGGGATACTGTTTGTCTGGTTAGGAAGCTTTTGGTGATACAGATCAGTGGTTCTCAGACAAGACCAATTTTTTGCTCCATAGTACATTTGGCAATTCTGGAAATAATTTTGGTTATTAGAACTGGGAAGAAATGGGTGCTACTGCCATCTGATAGGGGCAAGGGATAATGATACATAGCCTATAATGCACAAGGTTACCCTGCACAAGAAAAATTTTTTAACTAAAAATGTCAGGGATACTGAGATTGAGAAATGCAGGAGGTAGTAGAGAAAAATGAACAGAGATACTTTTGTACATAGTTGTGACCATACTATTTTATTTCCTTTAGTATTTAGGTACAGTTATATACATATATTTTATTTCATTTATTATTTTATGATTAACTTTTTAACCTCCTATGTTAAAAGATAAACAGTATACTTACTCTTCCCAAAGTTATTTTTCTTTTAAACATGATGTCATTTTTTTAAATACCTTTATTTATTTATTTTTATATGGTGCTGTGGGTCGAACCCAGTGCCTCAAACATGCTAGGCAAGGGCTCTAACAATGGGCCACAACCCCAGCCCCAAAGTTATTTATTTATTTAAAGGAGAAGCACAGAGAACTCCTGTCCCAGAGGCTGTGATTCTGCCCATCAAGGGGAGCAGGAGGCTTTTTTTTTTTTTTTTGAGAGAGAGAGAGAACTTTAATATTTATTTTTTAGTTTTCGGCGGACACAACATCTTTGTTTGTATGTGGTGCTGAGGATCGAACCCGGGCCGCACGCATGCCAGGCAAGCACGCTACCGCTTGAGCCACATCCCCAGCCCCCCAAAGTTATTTTTTAAATCCTTTATAAGCACTTCTTTTTTCAGAAGCAAATAATTTATAGTATCTGTTCCATCTTGCACTTTGGGGCTTCAAATATATTTTTTAAATCTTATTTTTTTTCTTTTCATTGTGAAATTTAGAAATAGTGAAATGTACAAATATTGTGTATTTGCTTTGTCTTGATTAGCCATCACTTCTAACATCTCTATATTTTTTAGAGAGAGAGAGAGGGAGAGAATTTTTTAATATTTTTTTAGTTTTCGGTGGACACAATATCTTTATTTTATTTTTATGTGGTGCTGAGGATCGAACCCAGCACCCCACGCATGCCAGGCGAGCACGTTACCGCTTGAGCCACATCCCCAGCCCAGTATATTTACTGTATTGTAAAAGCTAAGAACCAATAAGTATAGATTTAGGCTTTTTAAAAATGAAGATATAACATAGTTCATGTGGCTTTCATAATTTCTTATAATGTGAAGACTAGGAAATTTTATTATTATTTTCTGGCATAGTTTACATTTTTGACATAAGCATGTACAATATATAATTATATCTAGTCTTATAGAAAAGGGACTTCTTTTATATTTCATAAGATGTTGTCTGTGATTTCACTAGCCTGGGGCTGTGGCAGCCATAGATGTCTTGGATCAAATTATAAGACCCAAAATGCAAAGGGCCAACAGATTCTTTGAGAAGAGAGAGCAAAAACTCAGTAAAATATTAAAAACACTATGGTGATTAAAGGGGGGAAATGAAAAGGCAACAGTGATGCAAATACTTAGAGAGATGCATGCACTGAAAAACTTGAGGTGTTCTATATAAAAAGAAAAATATTGGTATCATAGAATGAATTTGGAAGTATTCCCTCTTTTTCTATTTCATGAAATAATTTGAGGAGTACTGCTATTCTTCTTTAAAGGCCTTGTAGGCTTCAGTTGTGCATCCATCCAGTCCTGGGTTTTTTGTGGTCAATAGGCTTCTGGTAGCATCTTCTATTTCATTGCTTGAAATTGATCTCTTTAAATTGTGTATATCATCTTGATTCAGTTTGGGCAACTCATATGACTCTAGAAATTTGTCAGTGTCTTTAATATTTTCTATTTTATAAGAGTACAATTTTTCAAAATAATTATCTTCTATATTTCTGTAGTGTCCGTTGTGATATTTCCTTTTTTATCATGGATATTAGTAATTTTGAGCATCAGATATCACTGAAATTCTTTTCAAAGAAGTCAGATGGTTTTTTATTCATGTTTGGATCCCATAATAAAAAGCAGCCAAAAAACCTAGTTGTATGTGACTACCATGTGCTGGCTATGGTTGAATTAGGTATTGAGTAGTTTGTGTCTCTAAAAAATATTAATAACTGCAAATGTTCCAAGGGAACAAAACTCATGTCAATATTTTCTGGTGATGCTTTTGATACATCAGAAGACTAACAAGTCTTCTTATTGATACCTCCTTGACTAAGAAGATGAGCAACCTGGGGGTTGAAAAGTTCAGCTTTTCCTTCTCAGTTCTTTGTTGTTCTCTGAGCAACAGTTCTTCTTGTTCCTCTTTACTTCTTTTTTTATAGCCTCAAGGTCTCCTTTTGATGCTCAGCAGTATATTCCTAAGTTTCAGTTATTTATAATTTATTTCATTTGAAATTTTCTTGTACCATTCATATAAACTTAGACTTATTACTCTAAATTAACCTTTTAAAATTTTTTTATATACTTTGCCCTCGATTATTGTTGGAAAGTTGGTGACATGTAAATTAAATCATATTCTTTGCACTTTAAATTTAAACAAAAAAGTATTATCTGTGCCTAAATGGCGCAACATTTTAAATCTGAGTTTAGGTTCCACTTTAGTTGGCAAATGTAATGATCTTATTTTGTAACTGGGATGATAACACAGAAGTATTTCATTAAGCTATTTAATAGTTTTAAGATACAATTTGTCAAAACACTTTACTATTTCACTTAAGTATCTGTTTTTTATTTCATATAAATTTTATCTTAATTCTTAATCCTGTCTAAAGTAGGCAGAAAAGTACCTATTATTTCATACTTTCAGCATTCCTATTTACTGAATGCTTCCTCAAACATTTCTTTAAAAAAAAAAAGTAAGTATTTGGATGATTTATGTACACACACACACACACACAGTCATTTAACCCAGTCACTCCCTCTCTCTCTTTTTTTTTTAGTTGTACATAGCAGTAGAATGTATTTTGACATATCATACAATCACACATACATGGAGTATAACTTCCCGTTCTTGTGGTTGTACATGATGTGGTGTTACACTGGTGTGTTCATATATGAACATAGGAAAGTTATATCCAATTTATTCTACTGTCTTTCCCATTCCCATCCTCCATCCTTTCCCCCCATTACCTCCTGTCCAATCTGGTGAACTGTAGTCCTCCTTCCCCCTTATTAGGAGTCAGTATTGGCAAATCAAAGAGAACATTTTGCTTTTAGTTTTGGGGGATTGGCTTATTTCACTTAGCATGGTATACTCTAGTTCTATCCGTTTACTGGCAGATGCCATAATTGGTTGAGTAATATTCCATTGTTTATATATACCACATTTTCTTTATCCATTTATCTTTTACAGGGCACCTAGGTTGGTTTCATAGTTTAGCTATTGTGAACTGAGCTGCTGTAGACATTAATATGGCCGTGTCACTATAGTAAGTCCTTTGGGTATATGCCGCGGAATGGGATAAATGGGCCTAATGACCTCCATACTGCTTTCCAGAGTGGTTGCACCAATTTGCACTCCCACCAGCAATGTATGAGTGTACCTTTTCCCCCCACATCCTTGTCAACATTTATTATTACTTGTATTCTTGATTCTGACTGTAGTGAGATGAAATCTCAGTGTAGTTTTAATTTGTATTTCTCTAATTGCTAGAGATGTTGAACATTTTTCATATATTTGTTGACCATTTGTATTTCTTCTTCTGTGAAGTAACTGTTATATTCCTTTGCCCATTTATTGATTTTTTTTTTTTTTTTTTTTTTGGTGTTAAGTTTTTTGAGTTTTTTTTGTATATCCTGGAGATGAATGCTCTATCTGAGGTGCAAGTGGCAAGGATTTTTCTCCCATTCTGTGGGCTCTTTGTTCATGTTCTTGATTGTTTCCTGTGCTGTGAAGAAGCTTTTTAGTTTGATTCCATCCCATTTATTGATCCTTGTTTTTACTTCTTGTGCTTTAGGAGTCTTGTTGA